GAGTGTAGAACAAGAAAACAGTCTGAGTTAGCTACTGTTTTTTTCTCACTTGAATCTAGGGATGATACAACGGCAGTTTTTTAATTGTGTGTTTGTTGTGTTGCTGATCATTGCTCTCTTCTGCACACATTTTGAATCTGTCATTTTGTAATTTTTTTTACGTCTATTTAAATATTTTCATTTTGTTTTTGTTTGTTTTTTTGTTTCATTTTGTTTGTGCACTTATAAAGAGTGCAATGTGCACAACTATAGTGTGGGCATTCACACACTGTCAATACTTGAGACTCCCTTACGTGGACAACCTAAGGAAGTAAAAAAAGTGTCTGCACTACTGGAGTTGGCTGCTTATGAAAATGACTTTTGTGAGGAGAGATCAAATAATGGAGCCTTGTTAAAGGAGCTGTGGAAGAGCCCCTATTAAGAGAGCTTTGAGAGTACTTACTTGCAGACGTTTGGAGATGGAAACCTGTGTCTTCTTGTCAACAGCAGGAGTTCGCACACGGCCTGTGTTCTCCTTCCTTCCCATCGTACCAACAGAGAAACCCAAGTCTGTCTGATACACATCTTCACCGATCTGACCAAACTCCAGTCTGTTGGCCTGTCTCCTCATCTCTGTCACAGCAAATTTCTCTTTCATTTTACGTACCCTGCGGCCACCTCTCTTCTTCCGAGGAGCATCATCGGGCCTTGGCAGTGCCTTAGCTTCCTTCAGTGGCGGAGGTTCCATCAACTTATCAAATTTGCCTTCAATATTCTCTCGGAGTTGCTGCCCCACAGATCCATCAGTATTTTCATGAAAGCTGTCTACTCTTGCTGCAAGGGAACATTTCGCTGCAACAATTCTTGCTGCTTTCTTTCTCAGATCAGCAGGCATATTCTGAAACATAGAGAAATACAAATTATTAATGTTCCTGCTGAAAATAGCGTTAAAAGTTACTGTTTCTTCATGGCCATCTTAATATTATTCCTATCTGGAGGCTTCAATTTTCTGTTCTTACTGTCTTATAGCCTATGAATACAGACAGGGAGAGACATCTGCATGATTGTACACCTCAAAAACTCAGTACTGAAGACTTGAATAATATTGAGGTTTGTATGATTAATTATATGATTAATCTGTTAGTCATGTGGTTCCAGATGTATATTTATTTTAGTTTGAGTTTTGCTGTGATTTCGGGGCCAGCAAGACTCAAATGCTTACTTTAAAGCAAGTATGTCCCTAAGAATTGAGTGTTTCTAGGTAAATTCAGCATTTTAACTTTGTGACCTCATGTTTTTGGTCTGTCATGCCTAAACAATAGCTGAAAGGGTGCAACATTACCACTACAAACAGTCCAAGCTCTTGACCAGATTCTGGATGAATTTATAAAGGCAGTATGGAATTTTTGAGGTGCAGACATCTCTCTCGCAAAACATCCCCGTTGGAAGGGAGCAGCTCTATTCACAGGGTTTTTGTAGTGATGATACAAACAGACAGAAGGATGCTAACATTGAGCAACTTTCTCCTTTTAATGCTGAGTTTTGCTAGGATATCACACAGCTGATTACACAGGAGTCAAGTCAAGACCAATACTTGAATGATGCACCTTCCTTTTCTTGATCCCAATGCATGCTCATATATTCCTTGTGAACTTTATAGTAAAGTCAAACCTCCTGTGAAGGGTTAGTGGGGTGAAGTGCAGACACATTTGCTTTTGGAGAGAAAGCACTGTATGCAAATTTTAGGTTATAATATTATGTAAATCTATGTTGCCTATAAAAGTTTTTTTAATACTCTCGAGCAACACAACTATATACACCAAACTCACAGATCAGACATTGCATGAGGTGGTCGCTTAGAAGAGATTAAGGACAATGGAAATTCAAAAACAGTTTTGCATAGGTGGCTGCTTATGGCAGCTGGTCACTTACAAGGGGTGGCCATACATGGAGTTTTGCCTGTATATAGCCCACATAGCTGGCAGTTCTGTTGAAACAATGAAGGAAACTCATCCACCACAAAGAATTTAGAGGAATGAGAAAAAGGAGGAAAAGGAAATCAACGTGCAAAGAAAGTCGTGTCCAATAGCCCTGGGCTAGTGGATTTTGCCATTGGGCTAGTGTTTTTTGTTCTTAACTTGCCCGACGGGCAAGTGCTGTTTTTTGGGGAAATTCAAATTACAGAAGGATTGTTATCAATCCTGCCAATCAAAAAGGGTTTTGGGGCTAGTTGAAATGACTTGTGGGCTAGTACATGATATCTACAGCTTGCCCAAATGGCAGGCTGTAAAACTGACTTTCCCCTAAGTAAATGTTTTCCTTTACTGTCCTCCTTCCTCCTCTCCCCATCCATTCCCCTTGCATGTAATGCTAGGTTTTAATGACTGTTATATATGTATACAAACCTGTATAAAATCACTGAAATAAATATGCCCAGTATGAGGCAAGATTGCTGCACTAGAAAATCCTGACAAAGTTTTCTTTTGAGATCCCAATAGTAAGACATTGCAGGCCGGCATTTTTGACAAGCTTGTAAGCCCACCAGCTGAACCCATGAGCTTGGCAGCAGTTGATGCTCCAACAATAATTGATAGATTGGGTGCAATAAATGTCATTCTCGACTCAACATATTCAAATATATTAATCTTGGCCTCCAGTAAATCAGTGACAGTTTTACAGGCTTCCATGAGTCGCTCTACATCATCTTCTTCGAGCTTTTCACCTTGAGTCGTTGAAGCAGTAACACTCACCACCATTTTTGTTGCTGGAGGCAAAACATCTGTCAAGTCCACCTTGATGGCTTCAAGATCATTTCCTAGAAGTTCAACAGTGCGGATGTAATCCAATGGATGAGGAACAAGAGATTCTAACTCCGGGAAGCGTTTGCAGTAAATATCTCGAACATATTTATGAATGATGTTAACTTCATTGTCGATTTCCGCTGTCAGGTTGTTCGCTTCCACAATCAGCTGATATTCTGGGTCGACTTCAACTGGACCGAACACCTTATCACGTGGTTGATTGCTGAATTTTTCGATCCCAGAAAGAACGTCATTTAACTGCTTACTGTCTTTGAGCTTTGCAACGCTTTTAACAGACTTCGAATCCGAGTCTAAACTGTCTGTTGTCTCCATTGCTTCCTCAATTCCATCGTCATGATCTCTAAAGTCCACATCACCCTCCTCCGCAGCTTCTTCTAAATCGGCCAAAAGTTCATCTGCGAGAGACATCTTGCTCTATTTCAACTATTGGTAACAGTTTTGAATAGTTTTAGGAGAAATTAAGTATTACAAACAAGCTTACAAACTCAAAAAAAACAAGCACGGTATCTGAACGTGGAGGCAACGCTAGAAGGAACGGTTACAAAGCATGTAACTACAGCGCATGCGACTTACAGAAGACGCGCCAGCGATCCTTGAAACTCAAACGCTTCTAAACGTTCCTTCTATAGTTGGGAGAGTGGACGTAGTTATCTTTCAAATATCAGGAAAAGAAAATGGCATCCTTGTAAGAAAAACCTCATTTTATTTTATCTGATATTAATTGATCTCTTTTGCAAGTTATTTTGCAAATATGACCCCGCGAAAGAGGGTAATCTTGGCTTAAAGTTTCTAGTTGTCAATTTCAAAGTTTGCTCTTTCTCTCCGCAGAATGAACAAACCTAAGGGTGAGATGACACCAGAGGAACTCGCACAGAGAGAGCAAGAAGAGTTTAACACGGGTCCTCTGTCTGTTTTAACGCAATCTGTGAAGAATAACACTCAAGTTCTCATAAACTGTCGCAACAACAAAAAGTTGCTTGCCAGAGTGAAAGCGTTCGACAGACACTGTAACATGGTTCTTGAAAACGTGAAAGAAATGTGGACTGAAACTCCAAAGTCAGGAAAAGGGAAAAAGGCCAAACCTGTTAACAAGGACAGATATATTGCCAAGATGTTTCTCAGGGGCGACTCTGTTATCCTTGTTCTTAGAAACCCATTAGCGGCTGCGGGAAAGTGAAGTTAAAAACTCTGGGATTGACATACTGTTCACTCGATTAAAGAAAGTTTCATAGACTGACTGTCCCTTTTCACCGTACATATACTAATAAGACGATGCCCACATATGGAGCTGCAATTTAGAGCTACTTTTCATTTCAGTGTGGGTTGACGAAACCGGTCATTTCGATACAAAATCGTTTCAATTCAAGTCGTTTCGATACGAACATTAGCAGTGAAACTGTACATTCCTCATTTTATAAGCCAACAATACGAGACTATTTACACCTCAACTGAATCAACCTGCATCAAAACAACTTTGTATCAAAATGACTGGTAATTGCAGGTGGTTTTGTACCAGAGCAAGTTTGCCTCCTATGAGCTTGTCCATCAAGTTTGATCAAGATCTGATATTGTAAAGAACAAAGGATAAGGTCAAACTTGTTAGGAGAGTTCTAAATAACTTGGGAAGCCAGCTCAGCATGGAGCAAAACTACTGGCTCCCTGGTGAGATAATGCTTTATTGTATGGACACTTGACATTAACATAACAGCTGTAGCTATGGATTTTGTGGTTAGTTCATATATAGGACATGTTACTCAAATATTTGATGAGAATACCTTTGTACATGTATCAGAGAACAGATGCAATTGAAATGTTTAAACTTTTAGTATGAATCCTCATATTGGAAATGTTGAGTTATAGTAGCTGTAGGTAAACAGTTTTTTTTTTCTCCCCGTCCACTCACACTTTGAGATATTTAGGGCTCCACTTGAATTTCCTGTCATGAATGCCTGCTGTTCCAGAGTAGGAGGTCCTTGCAGAAGTCCAGCTAATTATAGCTCCTAATTAGCCTGCTTTGCAGATGTAATTAACCTCATTTATGCCTGCAAAGTAGACTGATATCCTTGTTCTGGGTGCCCTATGGACTCAACAAATTACCAGTAATGCCCTTTGATTTTATTAGCAAATCGACAGTGGCATTTTTAACAGGCCAATCATGGTGCATACTCAAATCCTGGTACACAGGTAGGGGACCAGAACAAGGATTTTGGTGCTGTTTCACAGATGGACTTAACCACAGTTTAGTTTCATCTGTGGCACAGGTTAGCTCCTGATTTGCCACAATTCTTTTAAATTCATGTTACTAATTAAGCCCATTTTACAATTGTGAGATTAAGTGGTATTCAACTCTTTACCAGTTTTTTTGTGAGTAGTTTTTTTCTTACAATAAATTTAGGAGTAGCCTGATTTTGATGTGTAAATATTTATATCTGCATCAGTGAACCCCAGCCTCATTCAAACTGAGGTGCTAACTACGCATTCAAAACTGTGGAATCGTCTTTTAAACAAGCATTCTTTACTTGTTTGAATACATATAATAAAGTGTTTGTTTTGCTTGTAACTGGGAGTAAATAGTTTTATGGCTGTATGTCACTCATACTGTTAGGCATTTTTGTCATTCTCAAGCGGAAGGAAAGGCATTTTGGATCATTTTACGTTTCTGGGAAACTGCCCGCCTTTAAGGGAGGGGTAAGTGAGCAGTTTCACAGAAACGTAAAATGATCCGGCATTTTTCCTCTCCCTTGTTCCCAGGGTTCTCTCTCTTCCTGACCTCCCTTAAAGGAGGAAGAGGTTGGTTTTTCCTGTCCCATTCTATCCAGTAATGGCATTCTATCATTTTCTTCTTGTATCTTAAAGTTAGATTACAAAAATCTTCACTGAACTCAAGCCGGGTTGTTTTCTGGATGCTGTACCAATGTACAGCATTCCCCAGGCCTTATGTGGTCATGCACTCCAATGACATTTCTATGTCGAAATTTGCTGGGACCACGTGCAGGTCAGGAAAATCTGCACGGTTTGTGCTCAGGTAGCCTGCGCCACAGACAAAAATTAAACCTCTCCTTCCATGTGGAATAATTAGGTCTATGGAATGGACAAACATCAGTGTAGGATCGCTAGGTGACATGTATGACGTATTCCAGTATGACTAAACCTTTCCATCACAAGCAGAACATGTCATCATAATAAAAAGCACAACAATTATTCGTTCAGAAATTTTATTTTCATTTGTACGCTATTGTGCAGCAAAGCACCAAAGAGACCAACATCGTTCCCAGCTCTTCTCTGTTACGAGCGAACGAGGCTGGAGAGAATTGGTTTCCAAGAAAGGTGTGCATGCAATAAAGTATCAGAATATGATAAAAATTATGACATATTAAATTACAGATACACAGAGATAAAAACATTGACTTAAATACTACCCCAAGATCGCACAAAGATTTCTTGAAAGTCTCAAGAGACTATTTTGCATGTTATGTGAAATTACATAGAAGTGATATTCACTTGCAATTTTAGTTTCCATAATATATTATAAACATGAATATGAAAGTCTCAGGAAAATCTATAAAACGCATGTCTATTTAAAGAAGAAAACATATGTTGCTGTAAAAATAATCAACCCATAAAAAAATCATTTTAAAACAAATAATTACCAGTATATAATCAAGCGAAAGCTTTATCTACAAGGTAAAAACGCTTAACAGCAGTACAAATGCGCTGCAAGTCAAACCTCTGTCGGTACTTTCAAAATGAAAATACGTTGATGTCCAAGCCGTTTACAGACGCTGTTTTAACCTCGCAAAACTTTGGTTCTAATCTGTTCGTTAGTATTGTAAATAGACTGGAAGTAATTACTGTTGATTGTATAGCAATGTGAAATAAAATAAAAGAAGAAACAATTTCTATCGAAGGTGTCATGCAAAGGCCCAAAATAAGATTGAATAGTGACCTTGTCCTCTCATTTTATTTGCTTGGTTATCAGCTCTGAGCGTCATATCGTCAAAATTTATTATTTTTTTCCTGACTGCACCTAAACTAAATTCAATTTACAGGATGTGTCAGGTTCATGTTTCGCGTGCCGTCGCCGGCCCAGCACCCACCCCTCCCGTAAGTTTATGTTGCTGGTTATTTGATCGGTGATAGAAATTCCACCCACCCCTCCCTGGTCGACATTTGACTACACCGTTATTCCCAAACAGCTGTATTCACCACTTACACATCTTCGATAATGCAGCCCCCCACCCCGCCGGCCAAATAAGGTGCATCATAGGTGACGTGCAAGTGGCGAATGACTGAATGATTTGCATCATTTCACCCACCCTTCCCATCCGCTTTACACTTCCAGCTGTGTTATAGTTTCGGTTTGCTCTCAAACGTGACGATGCCCTCATCTCCAACATTGCTGTAAGCTGGATTGGTGTACATCATTTCTCCCCCGTCATAGTTCACGTGCTCAACGCCATCAAATCCAAATCCTTGGAAAGAAATTGACACATAATTGCTAGTACAATGTCTCAATAGTTAACAGGAAAGTACTTCGTCGATTGAGGTATAAATTACCGTAACCTAAGGATCATGAACCCCTCTAGTCTTCGAAAACTGCCGTTCTGCTAGAACCCCTCTTCTTTAAGCCCAAATCACCCTCTCATTTAACTCAACGTCAAAGTCAGGAGTCGACAACTTATTAATCCTTTAAATCCTAAGATCAAAAACTTGAATTCTCATTTGTTGTCCCTATTCATTTCCTACGGAAGTAGTGGGGAGAAGTTGATAAAACATCAAGCAAATTCACCTTGTATTATCATGTCCGTAATTCTCATGACCACTCTGTTTTACAAAGCATTGATATCACGAGGAGAAACTTGATGCTGATCACTCTTAGGGCTTAAAGGGTTAATCGGCTCATGTCAGAGCTCATAGTAGGTATTAAGCTTCCCTTCCCTACAAAGCCCTCCTCTAATAATCACAATTTGAACAGGAACGCAAAGCAATCACTAACTGTAAAGAAAATTCTTTGAAAGTGTATTTGATGATTATCTGCAGACTGCACACACTCAAAGGTTCGTTGTTAAGTAACTGACGATTGATATAAAATGATAGATCGGATGCTCTACGATGATACCATGTAAGTTATATTAAGGCGTCCCCCAACTTCCCCTCTCCAGCATGGCTACTAAAAATAAGCCCCTTCGAGGAGCTCATTCAAAAGATTCCGCGCCGGGCTTCAGCATATGCGGCAGAAAAATACTTATTTTTTGGTTTGTATCTTGCCTAGTCCCTGGGCCTTATCATTCCACGCGGCCAATGCGCTTCGGGTCACGTGTTCCGAGCGAATTTTTTAGGGCGTCTTCCAGCCGTTCCTCGCGGATACGTCATCGAAATACATTGACCGAGAAGGCCTGGGAAGACGCCCCACAGAGACTTGGCACGTTTATATCTATGGTGACCTAAACTTCGCGATATGTAAAATTAGAAGAGGATAATTAATTTGAAGGGACATACTTTGTGGTTTAGGTTTGTGCGACTTTCTTTTCATGTAACACCACATGGCCGCAGCTCCTCCAACAACACCCAGGAAAGAAAAAGCCACTGCTAAACCAATGTTTCTGTTCTTTTCAGCGGCTGAGTCAAGGAGGATGAATATGAAGATTGTGTTAGTACGAAAGTGGTAAAAATACGAAATACAACGAGAAAAACAGTTGACCCTCCATTAAACGGCCACACGCGGGGTACTGGCAAGTGGTCTCTTAATGGAGGTTGGCCGCTCGATAGAGCTTAGTCATAAATGAGCATTAACATTAGCAGCAAAATCACTTTATTTTGAATACACGCGACGAGGCAACATTACTGGTCCACAATGGGTCGTCACCTTCTACTGTATTTTCCTTCATCATATTCTTTAAATAAAACCAAGCGCTTGATGGCCCCTTAATAGAGGTGAAAACAATGAGAGAACTATCGTCGGGACGGAGAAAAGGTGGCCGCTTAATAAAGGTTTAAGTTCCCATTCTTTTTCACCCGGAGGGGGGTACTGCCATATATGGGCTATATAGGTATGTGCCGCTGTGAAGGGTATGTTTTTCGAGCAGTTTACTCTGGGATAGGGTATCTAAATCAGAGCCGTTGGGTCTAGAATAGGGTATCATTTTACAGGAAACTGATCAGTTGGTTAAAGATTTTATCTAGACTAGAGGGAAACCGGGAATTGCCACTCAAACATATAAAAAAATCAAATCGGCAAGTTGAAATTTACACAACTCAACTTATTTTGGCTAAACTGTGCAGCAGTTTCTGGAAAACAGCTACTCTAGGATAGGGGGGTTTTGGGGAGTTTACTCTAGTAAAGGGTAGCAAAATTCAGCTGAACTAGCTCTGGTATAGGTTAAGGGTTCCAGGGTCCCAGCGGCACATCCCCACCCAAAAATTCCTAAAGTACCCCCCCCCCCGGCTTTTTCACAGTTATTTCGGGACTTTGATTACGAGCGGCTTAATGGAGGTTCAACTATAAGAGTTCATGCAAAGTGATTGATATGCTCACATTAGCTCAATGTCTCCTTGCTGTTCCTGGCCGGTTTAAATTCGGCATTCGTCGAGTTTTGCTCTTGAAGGTAACAGACACTAAGTAAGAATCCTTGTCTTGCCAATTAAACCGGCCAGAACCGACCAGGAGATGAGCACCGTTATGTAATATTTTTACTTCTAGGCTACCATTAGTCAGATTATTATAAACATTTTTTAGATGAAGCGGCTCATAAAATAAAGAGCAGGTGAGAGGGTCGAGTTCGATGAGAAAACAAGAAACGTTCAATAGAAAATTAACTACGGACAAATAAATAGACAATCTGAGTCCCTCTCCCTAACTCCCAATCCCAAACTAGGCTGGCGTGTTTGTTGCAGATCAACATTATCACATTTCTTTAAGGCCGATACACACGAGGGATTTTGCACCCGGAGCATGCTCCAGAGAGCAAAGCTCCTCCGTGTGTACCAACGATTTCATGGGTATACTTCATCCTTGGGAGAAGAATTTCCACCCGCAAAATGCTCCACGATATTTAACTGGTTAAATATTTGGGGGTTAAATATTTGGGAGCAAGCTCCCAGGGCAAATTGAGCGAACTTGAAAACGCGCTCCCTCGTGGGTACTGACACGTGCAAAATGAGCCTGGAGCATGCTCCGGGAGCAAAACCCCTCGTGTGTATCGGCCTTTACGCACTGTGTGAAAAGAACATCAAAAGTGCCATTTTGAGCTTGATGAAGTGTCTACACCATTCTGACACCATTATGGAAGAAACCAAGACCAAGAAACCAATCAAGACAAGCAAAAGAGTCTAGCTTACCTTCCTTCTTCCTTTTCTGCTCTCTTTCTCTTTCCAGTGCTTCAGCTAATGAGTAAAGATAACAAAAAGCCAAAATTTCTACACGAAATGTTTATTTATTCACTATGGCAGGCACAGATTTAGAAACGCCAGCGGCAAAGGCGGGTGACTCTAGAGGGGTCGCGTGGAGCATGATATCTGTATGTCCCTTAAGCTTAATTAACCTAAAATATCACGAGGGGGGGTGGGTGGTGAGTCAGCCTGTGGAGGAATGGCGCCCGTGGCGGGACGCTTCGGGCCAAACCTTCCCGCCCCACGCGAGAAAAATCCTCCTCTACCAGGGGTGCCCAAGATGAAAAATTTGCAGCTGGCTAGCAAAATGATAAAAGATAATTGATTAAATACTCTTTAGAAATCCTGTTGAATTAATTTAACGTAGTTTCATTTTAATTGGTTATTTTATTAAACGCAGGTTTCTTTCTTTCCTAAATATAGCTTGGTAAACTGGTTTAACATGTTAGGAGAGAGAAAACTTTTATCATGAGGTGCTGCAAAATTTGCTAATAACAAAAAAATAATAGTAATAAACCAAACACTTATAAAAGTCTGCATCATTTACCTTGATTTCTTTGTATTTCAGCTGCTGTGGAATTTATCTCACATTTGTCGCCTTTAAGAAACAAAAATATCAATAATAAGCAGTTAGAACACACGTTTAATGACAGAAGGAAAAAGTAAGGCAGTGTATCACTGAAAACTCTCTAAAAACTGAGGAATAAAACAAAAAAGGGGAGCACGATTACGAGCGACGAGTGCGGACTCCTTAAGTGGAAGTTCGCACACCGCGTTGTCTGCCTTCGTTTTAGCGATGTAGAATCCCCCAAATTCCCTTCCAATTCTTAAGAATGGGTCAGGGAGACAAGGCTAACTGCTTCAGTGAGACCATTGTCAAATGACACGATTGTGTGAACTGAGACAAGACCTAAAATCACACCAAGCATGATCTTACTAGATTTTTTAAAGACCCTGGTTGGTGGATCCGCTCAGCAAATAGGCGCCCATCCAACTGAGCTAACATCAGGTTTTATGAATCTGTTAAGACAGGCTACAATTTTAATACCTGCTGTTCCATTCACATTATCGCCTCATTAGGCAGTCACGTTAAGGCGTAGACCTTGTCTCTCTAACGGGGAATCAAGAAATTCACCTCCAGGCTGTATGTGCTTAATTCCACTAATATCGTGGGTGACAAATTACTCCTTAATTTTAGCGTAAAATTTCAGAGTTGATTTCTTATTTCACATCTGAGATTAGAAAATTGCCATGACAACGTTCCGTACGTGTCAGTACCGAGATGACGGCAAAGTTTTAAAATGTTATGAATAAAGATGTCAGAGCATTAATAGACGGTTTAGGGTACATCAAGAAGGATCCTATCAGGTGTTTGGTCGAAAAATTCTGAACATTATGAACTTAAGCCAAAATGTTTAACTCTAAAGTTTTCAGTGCGTGGAGTTCTCGATAGATAATTAATTTTGTAAACAAGTCAAAAACCTTCGATTGTGAGGCTAATTTGTCATCCATGATATTAACAATTGTTTATCAAATGGTTTACTTGTGAAACGCGCGTGAAATTATTCCCTAATTTGACTCGTCACCATTTGATTACTCCTACGTAGTTTACTGGTGATACCTTCAAATCCCTTGAAACACGAGCAAAAGCTTCTTTGTGTGTCCTTGTTACAGTCGCAAGTCCCCTGATCACATTTACACACATCATTGTCTCGGTCGACTGAAAGGAAAGCACCATTTGCAAGGTCAGGAATGTAAAAGACTAAGGCTGTTACATTGACCGTATTTCATGGAAACAGTTTGGTACAAAGAAGCTTCTTTAATGGCCCAACAGGGTCAAATACGTGTCTTGGAGGCAGGTCTGGCCAAACACAACACTGACCAATTCAATGACAAGAATCGATGACAGACTGGGAAGCATGTCCCTGTCGCGGCCACCATGCGCGGCAAAAGTGCGGCAATCAGCGGGGCACTTGTGGTTTGATATTGCCGCTGATTGCCTCAGAAAGTGGTGCATGAAAAACTGGATTGGCTCATGTGTTTCGCCTCACGTAAGGGAATCCGTATTCCGGAGTCTTGGGCTTTAGAATCCGGACTGCAGCTCAAGGAATCCGGAATCCCACTAACGATTAGAATCCAGAATCCAAGTTCCACGGACAAAGAAACAGAATCCAGTACCTGGAATCCGGAATCGAAAGCGTGGAATCCAGAATCCAAGACTGTCTTAGATTCCGTTACATGGGGCAATGTGTTTGTTGAGGTCAGAAGCCTATTTTAGTTCAGTTCAAAATGAAAACTAAGCTTTAAGATTTCTGAACCAGCTGAGTTCAAGCAGAACCTGCCAAGAAAACTCTGGATTCCCTTTTGCCCCTTCAACAGGGGACATTAGAATATTGGCCCAAGCCTCTGTTTCAAACAAGGCTAAGTGCAAAGCCTTTGATTTTTAATGATATGAAACTTACTTTTTCATTTTCATGCAAATAAAGCTCATTTTCACACGATGAAGAAAGGTTTTGCTTTTGGCGTAGCTCGCGCGAGAGAGCACCGAAATCCCTGTTCTGGGTCCTCAGCTGTGTACCAGGATTTGAGTACGCACTACAGTTAGCCTGTTAAAATTGCCATTGTCGATTTACTAATCAAGTTGAAAAGACACTCGAAACGTATTTCCTACAACTCTTTAAGCCCGATGGGGACCCAGTAGACTGCAAAACAGTCCGTATTTTTTCGTATTCAAGAACGCGCGAGCAGTCAAACAAATGGTCTGGAACGACGCTGAAAACAGAGATCGAGACTGGGGAGAGACGCTCACGCCCGATCGCGTGCGTAAGACTCTTACGCCACGCGTTGCCGATTTCTTTGCTGATTTTGAGAAAAAAACCGACTGTTTTGCAGTCTTATAGGGGACCAGAACAAGGATATAAGCGTTGCTTCGAAGATGTTACTAACTGGGGTTAGATAATGTCTGCGATGCAGGCTTCAATTGGCCTAGCTTTGAAAGTGAGAGTTTTTGGAACTCGGAAATGGCCTGTTGTATCCAGTTGGCTAAGACTGCACATTAAAGAGAATAAAAGTATTGTTGGAAAGGTCTATGACTTTTCACTCTTATTATAGAACCGCACTATTCAGATGAGCGGTGGCAGAAAACTTACACTTATCACAGTTCTTGCCAGACCAGCCAGGGCAACAGTCGCAGAAATAATCATTAATTTTGTCAATACAATTAGCTCCATGCTGGCAGGGGGATGAAATGCAGTCATCTATGTCTAAAAAACAAACATATAACAAATTGAGCATCAATTGAAAAACGAAGTTTCCAATCACATAAAACTGTAAGTAAAGAACGTAAAAATCAAATATTGGCTTTGTGCATTCTGCGCGAACAAGTGTAGTTTTTTGGCCGGTGATAAGAATAAACTTGTATCACTGCAGATAAATGCGCCTTCAAATGAAAGCGAAAAAAACCTAAAAAGGATTTTCCCTCCTTTAAACAAAATAAATAAAAACACTTGGGTAAGGCAAAAGGTTGAATTCACCGCTCTGTTGTACTCGTCCTAGACCACCTATGTTTTCGTCGGCCGTGGAAAACGAAAATCAGTGTCGTTTTCAAGTACCAGTTTATTTTTAGACACATTTTAGAGTACTTTTTCCCACGAAAATGAAATCTCCGCTCCGTCACTGAGAGCATTCGAAGTACAAGATATCAAAGAGGCAAACTAAACGTCTTTAGAAGTTGAAAAATTACATTTCTTTTCTAGGTCTATAGGTTTTGTTGACTGTTTGTGGATCTTGGAAGATACTCTAAATTTACGCCAAGATCGTTCGAAAAATAAAGCGGTCGGTGAAAACGCCCTGACAGGAGTAGTATGAGTAGTAGGTGCTCGCTACAGATTATAGAATACAGGTTAAACTCCCCATTTGCCCTAGGCCTCGCTCTGGGTTCATTTAGTTCTTGTTACTTACTTATTGTACACTCAGGTCCTGTGGTTCCTTTAGGGCAGACACAAGTGTAGCTACCGAGCGTGTTCATACACACCTTTCCTGCGCCACAGTTGTACTTGCCTGTATTACATTCATTGACATCTGCATCAAACAAACCAATAATCAGCTTATTTCACAAGTTAGGTTTTGTTTTTATTTTTCATTTCCCCATTCCCCGTTTTAGTATCCTCCACTGAGACAGAAAAAAGCGACTAACCTTGCCCTTGTTCACATCTGTCACCAAAAAATCCAGGAAAGCAGTTACAGATGTAGGATCTGTCCCCATCGACGCAAGTACCTCCATTTAGACTAGAATGGACGTAGAAATAGAAGACTTAGATTGCCAAAGTTCAGAAGAATCCTTAATATAAAATCCTTAACATTGATAGCTATGAATAAGTAGCAGGCAAGGGTGGTGCGGGGGTGAGAGCGCTCGCCTTACACTGATGTGGCCCGGGTTCGAGGTCCCGGCATGGATGTCATAGGGAGCATTTCTATTGTTGGTCTTAGCCCTGGCTCTGAGAAGGTTTTTTTCCGAGAAGACCGGCTTTCCCTGACCTCGGAAACCAACGCTTTCAAATTTCAAATCAATCTGAAACGCACCGACACTTTCAAACGCGCTCTTGGCAACTCCTTGGTTGTTTTACATATACAGTGGAACCCCCAGTTTGAGTTAGCGGGGGTTCGAGCTATCGGGATCGATTGAATATTCGATTTGCCATGTTGGTTATTGATAATTAACTGATTTTTCAGCACTTCAGTGTATAGTACAGCCAAATTTAACTTATTTCATTACAAAAGGTAACAAAATTATGCTTGTGTATGTAAAAACGTGATCTGTTCGTTGCACCATTTGAAATCATATTGTTGTAGTCAGTGTAGTGTTAGTCTGCTACACAGCCGTTTTTTGAGTCGTCACGCAACGCTCCTTAAACGGCTGTGTAGCAGACTAGTGTAGTGTTAGTTTTAGTGTTTTACGGATTATACAACAAGAACAGTTGATGGGATAGCATCCGAGTGGAGTTACAAGAACCAGTTATTTGGGTTCGAGTTCGCGGGGAATTCGAGTTATCCGAGTTCGAGTTATTGGGGTTCCACTGTACATTACGAGTCGCGTTTGGTCTGTTAACAATAATAATAATAATAATAATAATAATAATAATAATCTTTATTTCTTAAGATAAAATTACATATCCTAAGTTACAATATAAACTCAAAAAACTATTTACATATCATATCTAAAAATTATTCTGTTACTAAAAACGTTCTTAAACCTGTCAGTGTAGATTCTAGGGGCAGAGACAGACGTATTTCTAAGATTGTACCTCGTGTTCTTTTCCTTAGGTAAAAACTGGAAGAACGGACATTCGGGTTCATTCGATCTTTTTTGGTAGAGTGTCTTGTCTTCTGGGATATGTCGACAGACTCCCCCCGCCCCCTCTTTCCCCCTCATTTAAGCCCCGATATCTCCATAAATGTCCTTAGAGCTAAGTTGAGGGAATTTGATAAAAGATCAAAGCGTTTTCCCTTTAGTGATCACTTAATCAATTCTCAAAACCTTTTCCATTGATTATGTATGGATATTAGTAGGAGAAAATTGATGTTGATCACTCTTGGGTTGATAAAACACTATTTAAAATTTACATACCAGGAATCTGCATCACAGTCATTGATTCCTGCATTAAAGAAAAAGACAGCAAAAACTGACTTAACGTTTGTTGATAAAAGTCATAGTCAATAAAATAGCTAATAACATCACGGCTTAACTGACAGACGACCATAACATTTCGACTTAATTGACAATAACCATAGCCTCCCCGCAGACGTCCTTTGGGGTTCGTTCGTCACGCATTCATTTCTTCCCCACGGAATGAATGCGTGACGAACGAAGCCCAAAGGACGTCTACGGGGAGGCTACTATAACCAGGGTTTAACACCATCAAGAGACGTGATACAACTCACTTTGACCCTGAAGATGACAACCACACCGGTTGTCGAAACGTCAGTCACTATCAACAACAGTCCTATTCAGGACTACGTTCACCCGGACGATCATATTCAACCTACTTATGAAAAATTTAAGTTAACATCGAAATTGCTAATCTTAAACCTGACACGACTCGCTGTAAAATGTATCCTAAAGAAATGATACTTACTTTCATTACAGTGCACTCCAGTAAAGTCCCCATCACATTTACACACATATCCCCCAGGTAAATTGATGCAAACTGAATTGTCACCGCAAAAGGAATTACGACACTCGTCAATATCTGTTGAGGATAAAAAAGAACATTGAGTTAGATTTATTTAAACTAGTCCAAGTAATTAATGACAAATAAATCCTAACCTGCGTAGCAGGCGCTTGGAAGTATTGGGCACAAGAAAAAACGGCCTCGCGAGAAGGAGACACCCCTCGCGTGTCTCCCTCGAGCGCGCCCGTTCTCACTTTCGCCCACTACTTCCAAGTAGTAAATCCATAGTAAGGGTGATTATTATTAAGTATGAAACAAGACATCAACTGAGCGGCATTTGACTTAAATATCGTCCGACATTGACGACTTTGAGAACTGGCTTCTGTTGCGAGACTGAAATGTGCAATTCATCGATTATTGGAAAATCAATCTCTACCTAGTTCTCATTTCCGTCGGCCGAGTCTTCGTAACACTTTTAGGGAGCTTAAGCAAAGGCGCTTTTGAGCGACGCACATCAGCCAGCAGTGAAGAATTTTCCCTTTGAATATGCCTTGTCGCTAACAAATTTGTGTTGCTAAATATCTTTTCTCTAAAAAATAAAAATAGCTTAAAAGGTAAGAGTGCGATAATAAAATGTGATAAAAATTCGAGCTGAGTACTTGTGAAGCTTTGACATTTCTCTACCATGAAAACCAAAGACACAGTCGAAGGCTAGACTGAGCGTGGCTGTCAAGCAGTTATTTCAACGTATTGTAAGAAGAGCTGCACCATTTCTCACCTATTTCACACCTTTCTCCAGTAAAACCCTGTTCACAGGAGCACGTGTAGTTATCACCTACATCTGTGCAGTTACCATTTAAACAAGGATTGGGATTTTTACACCACGAAGAGTCTAAAAGAAAATAATTATATAATCTTTTAAAAACATAGGCATGCATTAGCCTCCCAGGCACACGTTCTTCTGGCAAGTCCCGCACGCGTGACGAAGCCCAAGGAACGTCTGTGTGGGAGGCAAGGTAAGGCAAGGAGGGAGGCATTTCACTTAGATTCTTCAAGCAGCCTCACTTGTTTGTGTTCCAGGTTAAATATAGCTCTTACTTGAGCCTTAGACTTCCAAACGCTGAAATACACCTTCATACAAGTAGCTAATCAAGCCGATAGTCAAGACAATGCCCCACTTATAGCCTAGCGGCAAGGAGCGAGGAGAAACGGCTGTATTCACAGGCTAGCTACTCATTCACACATTCCATTAAAGGTAAAAAGTAACTGCAACTAAGTAAATACACACTCATGCATCTATTAACAGTCAAGGGGTCAAAGAATTGTCAAAGGCTCTAACTAACTGACTACATACAATGCATACATCTTATTGCCATAAGAGGTCGCACATAACTGCTTACGAGTGAGATTAAAAATAAGAAGGTAATGACTCACTTGACTGGCAGTATATTCCTTTTAAGCCAGGAGGGCATACGCACTCATATCCGTTGAGCTTGTCAACACAAGTGGAGCCAAACTGGCAGGAATTATTCCGACAATCATCAATATCTGCCAAGCAACGGGAAAATATTACAGTAATTCACTTGTCCTTTCCTAACGTTCTTCTCGAAGCTATTTTCAGTGACTACTAGTAACCAAACAAGTTTGCTGTGCTCGACTTTGCGTTTTGTCATCTCAGCCACAATACACGGTCTACAGTGGAATCGCCATACTGGTCATTTTGAGGTGGGTCAGTGTTCAATGGGACCGTTTTGGGGACCCTGCACGGGAAACTGGGTCAAAATGTGTACCCCAAAACAATCCCATAGGCAAGTACAATTCGATAAAAAAAAATAAAATAAAATAAAATAATATAATATACAGTCTCCCACGAAACCTGAAAATTGTCAAGGGAGTCCAAAGGAAATTGGAAAACCGTTTGTTAAAACGGGAGTAAGTGATATCGGGGTCCTGTTCCATACGTTTTAATGTAACTAAGGCAAAGATTCAGTTCGATTAGTTGTTAAACTAGCGGCTGGTGGTAAGAAATTACTCCACAGTGGATCTGAGGGGGAACGAGACCAGGGCGTCCTCCATCTTTTAAAGACCATCGCGCTCTACAGATCTTAGTTTCTTTTACTACTTGAGTTTGCAAATGACACATAACTTTCTGGATCTGCCTCCGTTATGAGTTCTTTTAATGCAAGAAAAGGACATTTCCGAGTTTCCACAAGCTTCTGTCTCAAAGCGATGTTAAGTGCTACGCCATTGATGAGGAAATGATTTTTTATTGTCATGCAAATAAAACTCATTTTCACAAGAAAGATTTTGAACTTAGCCTCGTTTTGAAAGTCAGAGTTTTTGGAACTCAGAAGCGGCCAATTGTTGTTGTTGTACAAACTGCTGTTGGTAATAAGATCATGTGCTGATAAACAGTAAAGAACAAATTCTTACCATCTGAACAGTTGACACCAGTATAACCAACAGCACAACCACACACGTAACTCGCATTTAACGTCTGTACACACTGGCCACCATGTTCACACGGGTTCGGTGAACACTCATCAATGTCTGTCAAACAAACAAAATTAATAAGGCTCTTTGCGGAGCTCAATGTAGTCATAGAAATTAGATTTCACTAAAATCGTAATTAACAGGGTTTGACAAAAGGAAAACAACAAAAGAAAACACAGACCATTTTCAATATATTAAAATTCATACTTGGCTCCGAGGCGTAGGGGAATAAAACAAAAGAAATGTATTATTCATTACTGAGCCTCAAGATGATTTCTTTTGTTTTATTCCCCCAAGCCTCGCAGCTAAGTATGAATTTTAATATATTGGAATTGGTCTATTGCCTAATTTGAAATTGAAGAGGGCTGGGTATAAGTTGGTTTATTATGGGATAAACAACGCGAGACCTACATGGTCAGAAAGAGCACACTGAGATTAGGAAAATTTCAAGTCCGGACGGTGTGTCTGCAGAAGTAGCCTGAATTACATCCGATTACTTCGAGTCGTTATTACTCCCTCAGTAACTGCAACTACTGAGGGAGTAATAACGACTCGAAGTAATCGGATGAAATTCAGGCTACTGCAGAAGCCCATTGTCCACAGATTTCTTAATAACTTTTGGAATTTTTGAATGGCTGTATCTCGTTCAATATTAATAGGCTCGATAAAAACCAAACTTGAGGATTTTCCAAATCTTGGTTTCCTCTTTTTATTTTGTGGGTCTTGTGTTGTTTATCCCATAATAAACGGACTCGTACCCAGCTATGCCCGTTTTGCAGTCCAATTATGGTTAGACAATGGTGACATACCGCAGATATGGGAGTTGCTTCTGATTGGTCATCCCTCAAGGGGCATTTGCTTCAACTAATCAAAAGCACTACCCATGATGTCATTAATACCGAATTTCTGGGCTCGTTCCTCAGAAATTAGAGACCTTTAGATTCGAGGACGAGGAAGACTACGAGTACGAGATTTGACTTGAAGTCTTTTCGCGTATTCTCGGCGGAAAGCTTCATTTTACCATTTTTCACTAAAAAAAGTTAGCACTGTTATCTTAAGTGAAGGAGGTTACGCCCCTCCCCATCGCAAAATGATAAAGAATCTAACATTTGATAACTTGTTTCCGCCACTTCGATATCCTCGCTAAGACTCTTAGTAGAACGACTACGGCTACCACGTTTTACCGCCAAAATGACGCAGTTTCTTAGAATCTAAAGGTGTGTATTATTTCGAGGGGAAGTCAGTGGTGGTGTCGCGAAATGTCGGCTGTTTATGTGAACTTCTGTTGGTTAACCCATTAAGCCTCAATATCCACAAACAAATTCTCCAAACTGATCTCCATACATTTCCTTAAAGAATTAGTTGAGAGAATTTGATAAAAGATCAAAGATTTTTCTCTGGGAGATCATTTTATTAATTCTCATAGACTTTGCTCTTGACAATCTATGGATAATGTTAGGAGAAAATTGATTTTGGACACTATTAAGGCATAAAGGGTTAACTTTTCACTTTGTTGACTTACCAGTCTCGCACCTCTTCCCAGTCCATCCTCTGTCGCAGTTACAAGTGTATTCTAGAAGCCCATCAACACAGGTTCCGTGTGGACCACAACCAAACAAAATCAGGCCTTCTAAGGCAAAGATGACAGTCCTGGGATTGCAGTAGTCTATATCTGAAACAAAATCATGAAACGAAAGCATTCAGAAGGAGTTGACTAGTTTAGTCTTCTATAAAACGAAGTTCAAATAGCAGAAAGACCACCGCATAGATTTTCCAACTAAAGGGGTTGTAAAAAAAAAGATGGAAAAAAACAACGGTATAAACAACTAAGGTTATGTTTACGCTATACCGGATCAAGATATAGCCTGCGTGGTAGGCGTTAAGAGGGGAAGGGGAAGGAGAATTTGGGCGCGCGAGAGCGTGTGGGGCGCGCGAGGGAGAAAGGTGAGGAACCCCTCCTCCCTCCTCCCTCGCGCGCGGTCTTGCGCCCTAATTCCCTTCCCTTTCCCTATCGAACGCCTGCCACGCAGGTTATACTAGATAGGGTTTCTGTTCACACGCAAGAACGGTGATTTGGGCGCGATTTCTTTAACGGAGCAAAGCTGTGCCGCTCCGATCTCGAACACCAATATTGCCGCCATGACGTCATATGAAATAAAACGACTTATACTCACTCCCTTTTTTTGAGTCGTAAAAGAGAGAGTCAAGTGGTATACACACAGGTTGATGTTAAGTTGTTAAACCCTGGTTTAATTGGGATTTTTTCAATCAAATGATGTCCTTACCAGTCTCACAGTGCATTCCAGTGAATCCGGGAGGACAATCACACTTATATCTTAGATCAGATAACATGCGACAGGTGCCGTTATTACAGGGCTCCATCATACACGGAGTGATCTCACAACTAGAGCCATTGAACCCAGGTGGGCAGAGACAGCGACGATAGCCGCGCTCATTCACACACGTACCACTGTTGTTACAGCCTTGTTGAGCACAGTAGTCTATGGGCAGGTCGCAGTGACGACCTAATGATCAAGATGGACACGGTTCATTTACATCAGGCTTTGTTATGTTCCTAGACTTTCACTCAACTATAAAGGCTACTTACGGATTTTCGACCGGTTAAAAATTCGTGCGTTTAGTCGTTCTGTTCACACGTAACCTAGCCTGGGACCAGGCATTGCAGTGAGTCAAAAAGCCAAAAAACGGGGTAAAACAGCAAAAAAGATCGGTGGACCGGTGATGTGGACTACCGCTCGGCTCCGGTAATTATTCTTCGTCGCTATTGAAGTGAAAGTCTTATATAACAAAATATTTATGTTAGATCCCTCGGAAAACCAGTTAGTTTTGTTTCTCTCGTGTCCTGATGTTTAAACTAACTGATGCAAAATTCACAATTTTTCCCAGGCTTTTTCCAAAACAAATTTTTTTTTTCAGCAGCCTCAAAGTTATCAAATAAGCGATCGACTGAAACCTCGACAAACGCAGGAACCAAGCTTTATTCGTGATGCACTGAAAAGGTACGGCAACCACAGTGAAATGCAAATAACTGAGATAACTATAGCCCTTCTCATTCTGTGTTTGAATGTTTCTTTGCCACAGATGAAATTAAATAAGATTTGACTACCGAAGAAAAATTCACTTTGCAATTAAGTTAGCAGTGTCCAAACTCATAATCCTTCCTATAATAATGTTTAGCCAAAGTACATGTATCTCATGTGAAGTAATATTTCTGTAGGGAATGTACGTCGGTAAAGTAATATTCTGCTCACCTGTAAAACCTAAACTACAGTTGCATGTGTAATTAGCTATCTGATCTACACAAGTGGCATTGTTAAGACACACAGCTGATACACAATCGTCAGTGTTATTACGACATAACGGCCCCTCAAAACCAGCGCTACATTTGCATGTATACTGAGCAATGCCATCATCGCACGTCGCTCCATTTTGACACTGATGACCTAAACAAAAATATAATTAAAAAACAATAGAAAATATTGATTAGGAGGTAGCACATCAGACTGCGAGCAGTCCATCTCTTTCTTCAGATCTAGCGAGGGGAGTACACGCGCGAGAGAGCGACAAGAGACGCGAGAAACGAGGGTGGCAGCCTTACAAGAAAAACGACACAGTGGTTCATCACCTACCATTCATGATTAAACGGAAGCTTTCAAATGCTGGGTCTTAGGAGAGGGCATTTAAACCCGGATTACCCGGGGAAAAACTCCTTGCAGAAAGGGGGAGAACTAATCAACAATCACAACCCATATATGGTGTACTTTCCCCACCCCCGAGGATTTGTACCCCCTCCATCCCACACTGATGGGAGGCGAGTGTTCCCATCCCTGTGCAAGAGAACCAATCAACAATCAATTTATTGTGTGATGTTTTCCCTTATTTTTGAGTCATGCAAACCAGAGGGAGGAAAATACTGCCTTAAAAGTTACCAATATGCATTAATGATCAGGGTGCAAAGAAAATCATTTTTACAGCTTGCCATTCAGGCAAGATGAAGCCAGCATTTACTAGTCCAGACGTCATTTCAACTAGCCCCAAAAACGTTTTGACTAGCAGAATGATTTCTCAGTTCTTCTGTTATTCGAACTCCTCAAAAAACATCACTTGCCTATCGGGCAAGTTAAAAACAGAATTCACTAGCCCGATAGCAAAATCCACTACCTCCGGGCTATCGGACACTACTTTCTTTGCACGCTGAATGATACTCCAATAGTGAGGTAATTACCTTGGCAATCATCAATGTTTGAATCACAAAGCCTTCCCGTGAATCCTCTATGACAGACGCAACTAAAGTTGTTAATGCCATCTTCACAAACTCCATTGTTACAAAGTGACGGTGATGTACAGTCATTAATGTTAGTTTCACAGTCCTTGCCAGTAAAACCGTCAGGGCATGAACACTAGGAAAGATAACAAAAACATTCAAGACAGAAAGCACGTGAGCCAACTTGGTAAAACACACATCATTGCCATAACAGTTGAACCTCGGCCTTACAGACACCTCTTACACAAAAACACTCTCTTACGAACTAAATAAACTGACGAAGAAAAGGGGCCAAGGAAAATGGCAGCTGAGGTTCCCTTCAAGAGAGATAAACTGCATAACACAAGACACACCCAAATTCCACTCTTTGGGTGAAGGACACTACAAAAAACCTGTTAACAGCAAGCACTTATGAGGGGGGGGGGGAGGGGGGAGGCGGGTAAGGGGGTAAGGGGGTCTAAACACCAAATATGAAGCCAAATATGCCACAAAGGTAATCAAACCAATGGATATAAGCTTTGTGAGCACCGCCTCTATAGGTCCAACTTACATTGTAATCCAGATGTAAATCACGGCAAGTTCCTCCATTCTTACATGGAGTAGTTGAACACTCATTTGTAGCATTAGTGCACGTCTTCCCAAGAAACCCAGCGGGACAATCACAGCGGAAGTTGTTCACCTCATCATGACAGGTACCTAAAATGAAAGCAAATGACATCCATGTATGACAAGGCAACGCAGTGCTCATTGACGGCCTGGGCCGTTTTGGTTCCTTTCGGCCAGAAAGTGACCTGGCCCACATTGTTCAAACATTAGCTGGCGCTATTCACCGAAAAAATCACTATTTAGCGGATAAGGATTAGGGAAACGAATTGAATAGATAGGGATTTATCAGGGGCACCCAACAAGAATATAGATCAACCACTTAAACATAGCACTGTTAAACGTATTTCAGTACTTAAACGGTAGATATAGGCATATTTTTATCCCCTAAAAACTCCGATGTCTTCATCTGTTCGGATTTCCTAGCTGAAAGTCTAGTTATCTGAAAACTATAGGGATCAAAACTTACCTTTTCGAAAATTTCAGCCAGAAAAAAGGCTCCCGAAAATTCTAGATGACCTTTTTAGGGTAAAAATCGGTTTAAAATGGGCAATTATACCATTTTTTAGATGTTCGAAAATCCTAGGAGAGGCAGGCAAGCAAGAAATTTTACAACAAATGTTCCGAAAATTCTAGATCGCAAATCGTCTTCCGAACAGATTTTTTCCGAAAATTGACGTTGGGTGCCCCTGATTTATTCCGTGGATAGCGTTATCCGCCTTTTGAACAACTGGGGCAAGAAAACGGCTCAACTACAATCGACGACAAAATTTTTAAAACACTGTCCTCAAATGGGGTAACTTCCAAAAACAACCCTCAATTAAAGTTGGAGTATTTGTTGTTTCCTAAAGTTGGCTCGAAAAGCAGCACAACATCACATGGAGGGGATGGAGAGGGCAACTTGGTTCTCCACTTTTTGAAGTCAGCAAAACGTCAGATCTCAGAAAGGCCCTTTAGATAAACTGTCTCCACTAACTTTGTCACCGATTGTAGCTTGAAACGGCATTTTTCGGCAAAATGTCCAGGGCAAATGAGTTATGTCGAGGAAATAAGAAAACTAGCCGGTACGTTGGCAAAATAGCCATTGGAGGGTTCAAATTTCCTGTCTAACAGCCACAAAAAATCTTTTTAGCTCCGAGCCTGAAATGACAGTTATGGACAACTTCTGTATTGTTGTATCAACTTATATTACGCGTGAATTTATAGAACAAAACTCATACATGTAAGTAGGGTATATCATCTCAATAAAACTACATGTTGTGGTGTTTTTTTGACTTTCCAAGTCTCACCTCCATTGCTACAAGAGCTCGATGTGCAGTCGTCAATGTTAACAGAACAGTTAGCACCAGAAAATCCCTGACGACAGCTGCATCTGTATCCATTGACTTGGTCTATACACGTTCCATTGTTCTCGCACGGACTTGATTGGCAGTCATCAATGTCCACCTCACAGTTACGACCGGTAAATCCTGCTACACAGACACACTGGTAGTCATTGATCAGATCCTACAACAGAAAAAAAAGAACACAATGAAGGTAGTCTAAGAAAACAGCCGACATTTCGAAATTCCACCACTGGTCGGGTTTCTTCGCGAAATGACGTGTGAGAAACAGGCCCGTGACGTATCACGGCCCAGATCAGGGTAGTGCTTCTGATTGGTCGTTGCACAGGGGGAACTTGCTTCAACCAATCAGAAGAATTACCCAGATCTGGGTAGTGAATGTCGTCAGTCTGGAATTTTTGCAGTCGTTCGGTTGTTCATAAGACGTAATTTCGCAGGGAAACAAGTGCTGGCATCACAAAATATCAGCTGTTTTCTCAAGCCAGTGCTGCAACAAAAGGAAGGGAAATGTATGTTTGTTTAGTACTAGTACTTAGTTGAAGTGTTTGGTGTAAATGTACCACGAAAAAGTCGGTGAATTTTTAGCCTCTAAATTCAAAAGTTCGCTGAATGTTATTAATAGCTTTTTTCCTCAGAAACCATAAAGGTGTAAGTAAAATACGTTTGGCACAAAGACCCTAAATTATACATATATACAACTAGTACAACGAAGAGGAGAGTGAGCCCTGCTCAAAACAGGGTGTTTTTTAAGGTTATTACCAAAATGTATTTGACTTTTTGGGGGAAAATACACATACAGTTCACTGTGACCAGAATATGTCTCCTTTACTTCAGCTTACATTCCAGCACGTCCTTTGTGTACGCCGCTCTCACTTTTTTGTTTTGCTACTTGCTTATTTTAGTTAATGATTTAGTTGGAGACTAACTTGCCCGGACTAAATGCTCATCGGCACGTGAGCTGAAAGTATTGCTTGCCCAGCAAGAAAATTTTTTTTGAAGCCCTGATGGGGCTTTATTTTCTGCCATACCCATGTACTTGACGTGGAAAATATATATTGTGATGTCAGTTCATAATATTTACCTTGCATGATGCCCCATTCTGACATGGATCCTGTTTACACTCATCTATATCTGTAAAGAAAGAGTAATTATACACCAGATTAACACTTCCTTCATAATTTCTGCTTTTAAGCTCACAAAAAGGCTTAATTTCCCAACAATTTTTCGACACTTTTAAGGCTGAAAACATCATACTAGCCCCAGAAAACAGCCCATATTTCATGACGCCACCTCTAATTTCCCCACGAAATGATTTCTGAGAAATGAGCGTAGAAATTCCGTACTGATCAGATCTGGATATTGCTTCTGATTGGATTAAGCAAATTTTCAACCAATCAGAAGCACTTCCCAGATATGGGTGGTGACACATCATCAGTATGGAATTCCTTCGCTTAATTGTTTCACTCAGACCTCATGTCACCGGGAAACCAGTGTTTGCTTCACGAAATATCGGCTGTTTTCCCAGCTTGCTCAGTGAAGTCGTACTGACACAAGGTTTTACCTGTTTGACAATTGACCCCTTCAAATCCAGCAGCACAGTTACAGGTGTAAAATGTCCTAAAGTTTTCACAAGAGGCATTGTTCTGACAGGGTCCAGAGTCACAAAGGTTGATATCTAAAAGCACAAATAAATTGATATTTTTAATTTAACACCTTGCAGTAAATTAACCATTGTTTCCAATTTCTCCTGGGTATTACAGTCGTCCCAAGAGAAATTGAAGACAATGGTTATGTATGTATGGGGGGGGGCAAACAAGGTGCATCATGGACTCGGTGAATGGTGAATGGTGAATGGAACTTAACGCTAGCAAACAAATTACTTGTAAATCACAAAAATTGTCAATATAATTATAGTACATGCAAAGACAAAATCAATACTTCTATAAAATGATTGCTTGGCTCTAAATTATCACACAATAATGAACTTTCAAATACTCCTTTCAAAAACATGATGGGTATAAGGACAACACCTTAGAGGAAAAGCTCACCTGTTCCACAGTCATCACCCATGTATCCAGGGGGACAGTCACAGCGGTGCTGATCAGGACCAGTGTTAATACAAGTACCTCCATTTTGGCACAGTCCTGGGCTGCGACATTTATTTAAGTCTAAAGATAAGCAAAAAAACAGGACAGGGTGAAAAAAGGTGGATATGGTGGAAACTCAATAAAACAAACTTCTATAAACATAGTCTTCAGTATAACAAACTGCATGTACATTCTTTGCCCAAGTAACAATAACCTTGTTATAGAGAACATATTTTGGCTCTTCATTATATCGAGGTTCCACGGCAATCAATTCTCTAGGTCACAGATAATTACTAAGGGGCAACATACCCTGTGAGCAGAGGTTTCCTTTTGAAATGGCTTTTAGCATCTATGAAGTTGTTTGCGTCACTGTCAGTCACCAGTGGTCTGCATATAGTTGGTTTGAGCGATGCGAATGACTTCATAAATGCTAAAAGCCATGCTGGAAGCTAAGGAAATTCAAACCTCTGCTTGCAAGGTACTGGTGAAGTTTTCTTGAAAAATTTGAAAAAGTGTATTATATGAGGTTGTATTTTGAATACTTTAAAAGCAAACACTTTGCACATTAAAAAATAGATACTAACTGCTTACAATGGTTTGGCTGATGAATATTCCATGCCAATTAGTGGAAAGTGCCGCGCATCTCCAAGGATGAGTGTAGATAGAGTTCTAGGCTAGGGATGCCCTCACCTTGAGTTTATATTTTAGAGAGGTGCTTATACAGGTAAATTAATTTTCTAAGGTCAAAGATGTCAGGGGTACATATAGCTGTAGAAACTAGTATCCATCAAATGATTAATATACACTGTAGGTGTCTAAAAATATATATTTTGTTGTTTAAAAGGAATGACAAAAGGATAAAACAAGAAGCTCTGTATACTAAAAAGTATACAGAGCTGCAAAAGATTGTACTACCTTGATCACAGTCAGGACCAGTCCATTCAGGAAGACAATTACAATCATTCCCTTGTACACAATAGCCTTGAGCTACCAGAAAAATATTGCAAGTATGATGATTAGAAGACCAGCAGATGGCATGCATTAAAACATAACAACTTTCAAAAGGTTACTCGACTCGTGGACTTCAGTACGCAGATTTGTAGCCAAGCCTAATAATAAACAGCTGGTGCATTAGTTGGAAGATGCCAAGATACCATCAATTTGACGGTACATGTAAATTTGCCAAATAACCTCGTGTCATGATCAATCTCGTTTCCAACTAAAAAAAATAGCATTCATGGCTGAAGACAAAATAGCTGAATTTCTGACCAAGACTGAATGGAAGAATGCAATAATATGCAAAACATACTGTAATGCTCAACAATTGACGTTTACTTATATATATACTTTTGGGGGAATCAGCAAGAAACCTTGCAAAGAAATGAGCCAATGTTTTGAAGAAAGTATACAAGAGGGTGCATGAGCTTGTTAACTCAACATATCATTATTTTGAATTTTAAATAATAAAGCAATTGTTGAATTGGGCTTTCATGTGTTAGAAAAGAATAAAAATGAGTATGCAGATCTTGAAGGCTGTTTTCCAGCCTCTCATTCTCGTCAATCAGCATGATTCATCACATCATACACAGCCTCATAAAAAAAAAATGATTATAATAATTATAACTTGTTAAACATCATACCTGAGCATCCTTGTTTCTCTACACAAAGATCACAATCAGACCCAGCCCAACCACTGTCACACCTGAAGTAATATTAAAATAATATAATTTCTTACAAGTTTTTGGATTTTTTTTCAGAAAGGGGCCTGATGAAAATCACAGCTACATGACTGGAAAAAGCCCAAAACAAAAGTTTTTCTAGGTCTAACAAATCTCAAAATCGAGAGGAAACAGGAAAGGGTGAGGAGAGGGAAAGCTGGAGAAGAGAAAAAAAAAATTCTGTTATTTACACTCCACAGTGGGGCCGAGCAAATTCCTGAAACAAAATTATTTAAATCAAACATAATAGGCTAGGGTTAAGAATTTCAACTGGCCAGTGGCAAACCAGTCGGCTATTTACCAGCGTGGTCGAGGATTTGAAACCAGGACTATACCGAGAACAACTCCAGCTAGCAGCCACGGCGGGACTTGAACACGGGGCCTTCGAATTGCAAGTCCAGCACCCTAACCGCTCGGCCGCGTAATGGCCCAGGATTGTCAGAAAGTTTTGAAGTAGATGGTTATGTTGTCAAAGTGAGCCGCCAACCCAGGGGTATTTTATTTAAAAACGCCATCCGTAAAGAAATGCCAAGCAGAGTAGCTGGTTGATACTAACCAAATAGGTGGCGATTTTTACCGGCAGCTGGCTACTTTTGACAACCCTGATGGCGACATTCTTCATTCTTCCGTCATTTTTATAAACACTAGGAACAGCTTAATTCTGCTCTTTCACCTTTGCTTTAAAGATTCAGTTGGATTAAATAATTAACCCCACCAAACAATAATTGTCAGATAATTCATTCACTCCTAGAGATTTTATGATTGATGTCTTACTAATTCAATCCAAACATTATTTATTTTGAATTTTTAATTCTTCAACTGCAGAATGGAATATTTAAACCAATATAAATGAACTCTGCGCCAGATTGAAATAACCAACTTCAAATGTTCTTCCAAAAAATGCTGTTAAAAATCAAACTTAATATATTGGTCTCATATCAAAAGTTTTCAAAAGTTAACAAGTTACAGCTGTAAAAGCTTGGCTTGAACCACAACTGAACTTACACACATGTGTATGGAACTGTGCATGAACCATGATTTGGATCACAACCTCCCTTGCAGATTGCTAAAACAAATTGAAGACAAATTAAAAGATAAGATCTCCCTCACAATCATAGACATTAACAGCATGCATGCCAGGAGGAGATAGAGGAGGTATCCTCAATATAATAATAATTATTATTATTTGTGCTTTTATTGAAAGCTCAGATCATGTGCTTTACAGGGGGTGTCAACCAATATATCAGCTGTCATCTTGGTTGACACATCGGTCTGAGTATCAGTTGAGTCTTAAATGAGTCTCACTCAAGTCTCACTTGAGTCTCGGATGAGTCTCGACCAAGAGTTGGCCACTATAGTCTATTGGTTGACAGTCGCTCAATAGTGGGTCATTACTTTGCTGACAGATCACCAACAGATCACCGAAATATCACCAAAACTTAGTTGACATAATGGCCCATACCTCGATTGACTGTCGCTCGGACTCTTGACTGACGTTCTACCAATATTGTGACCGATATGTCAACCAACAGACAACAGAGATATTTACCAATACATGAAAATACCGTAGCCCACGATTTAGTGGCTGATCAATCTGGTATTAGCTGCAGCTGATAGGTAAATAATTAAGTGTCCACCACATGACGGTTGACAGGTACCTTCAAACAATTAAGGGAAAAGCCTTGGGGACATTAGAATGGGAAGCCGATGCAATTGTTAACAGGTAGACCACCGATTCCTTACTAATACTCGACCCAGAGCTCACTGATAAATTGCCGACAAACTACCGATGCTATAGCAACCAGCTATCAGTCGATCTGTTGCCCGATACTCAACCATCTGTAAAAGGCCACTCGGCTGATGCATCAACCGACTTTTGAGTGACTCTCATCCGATGCTCTACCGATATAGTGACTGATATGTTGACTGATGAGTTATTTGAGATATGGCTCGACACCCCCTATAAGAAACATGATCCAAACACATCGCCTTCAACAAGAGCTTAACAAGATGTCTAACGGAAGAATTCTAAAATAAAAGATTGAATATGACTGTCAAGTCACAACAACAACAAAAAATTTCTTTCAATTGACAATACTTGAGTCTCCCAGTCCTACTGAGTCAATGACAGAGTTCTATTAAGTTTTTGGTCGAGCTTGCTTTAGCAGAGCAAGACTCTAAATTTAAAATGCCTGAGGCATTTTTCCTTTTTTTCAACAGTCTTCCCCAAATGGTTGGCCATGGTCACAGGCGTTGCTAGCGGAGACCGTGGAAACTGGGGAAAGAATCGTGACAACTTTCGTTGTATGCAAATAAGTCTCATGATGAGCAGGTTTATTTTCAGCGATGACTGAAATGACGCATGTAAGCTGATCACATTTTTCGCCGGTGTGAATTTAAGATGTGCGGCCTGCCTCTCCTTGCAATTTTTACGTTTTGAGTATTTACATTACGACATATAACACTCTTCTTGTATTCAAAACGAAAAAGTAGCATAACAACACCAGCGCCTTTGACAACAAAACTTATCTCCAAGGCCCCATGGGCTCCAAGCAAGCGAGATTCAACACTACTAAGAGTGTTCTTGTTATACACGCATTTGTGAAATCTTATGGTAAGACCATTCAAACTGAAAGTGCCAAAAAGCACTCCAATATTGAATTGTCTATTCATTTTCTTAGTCAGTGTATATTGAACTACTAAATTAATTCTGCAACTGTGCTGTTACAAAAATCATCAATCCCGCCACCCCACCTAACAGAGGGATTTTCGTTCGATTGAATGCAACTCCCCTCTGGAAATTTCAGTTCTGTAGTTCGTACTTTCTTTTGACAATGTCCTTTAAGACTGTCCCCTTTCATTATTTCATTAGGGAGCGTTAGTTAACCACAATGGCAACCACAGTGAAAATGTCAATGAAAAAGTCAATATACACTGTTTCAAAAATTCAAATTCAATTAGTCAAATTCTATTAGTCAAATGCCACCGATTTTCTCTGGAGTTTAATTCTAAGACTGTATCTAATTTCAGAAAGAGAAAAAGTAAATAATTTTGTAGAGTCCACGTTCTGTGCGCTATGAAGAGTTCAGAGTTAAAGAGAGGCTCTATTATCCCAGTACTAGCTCCAAAAATACTGAATTAGAATATCAGTATTTTCATAAAATTATTTCCTTTTGAAGTCTATACATTCACTTCTTGGTCAACCAGTGTTAGGTCAAAAGTCGGGAAGAGAATTAAAGAAGTGATCACTACCAACTTTTTTTAAACGTCTTTTTTAATACTTACGGGTGAGGCAGTTTTGTCCCCTCCAGCCATCTAAGCAGACTTTGTTTCCTGTAGTTTTATCACAATAGTAGTGACCACTGCTATCGTCCCGTCCAATACAGAGTGTATTACAATCTGCACCATAGTAATTGGCATCACAGTAAACACGAACCACAATTCTTGTGGTGGATCGCCTGCCAGTCAACTGAACCAAACAAAAACGGAGCCGTAATTAATTAAGCCTTTATATGGTTTTAACTTAGAGGCTTCTAGAAAATCCCATTCCATCCAATTATGCATCACATATTATAATTATTGGAGTTTAAAAAATGCAAAAATGAAAGTAAATGACGATTGAAAAATCCACTGCACATGCTAAGCCAGGATACCCAAGAATGCACCATTCCATTATAACAAATTGTAGTTTAAATGTGGCAACTGCAGTTTGTATATAATTCAAGTATAATTGTATAATTCAATATAAATTATAACATAATATATTGTATAATTCAAGCAATTTCATTACAGTTTTGTATGCCTAATCAGCATGCAAAGAGAGTAGTGTCTGATACTCCGGGGCTGCTGGATTTTGCTATCGGGCTAGTGAATCCTGTTATTAACTTGCCCAATGGGCAAGTGAAGTTTTTTGAGGAATTCAAATTACAGAAGAACTGTGAAGTCAATCTGCTCATCAAAACATTTTTGGGGCTAGTTGAAATGATGTTTGGGCCAGTAAATGTTCAGCTTGCCCGAATATCAAGCTGTAAAAATGACTTTCTTTGCACCCTGCTAATAATATTATTATTTTTTTTTTTTAGTCATTTCTTTAGTCACTTCCATAAGTGATTTCAATACAATTTTAACCCAAGCCTATAAAGGAAGGACATGTATAAATTTTTTTCACAATGTACAGTAAAGAATAATTCCAACCCAAATACCCTGTATCCCACAGTTCACCCTAAAGTAAGAGATGGAAAATAATATACTGTGCAGTTTTCTTACCGATACACTCTTGGCAACAGCACTCTGAAGGTCCTTTTGTGCTGGTACATTGGTAACACCATATCCAATGGAGTCAACATGATCATCAGAACTTCCAATACCAAATAAATTTCCACCGTCATCATCGTACACAGATAAATGAAGGCCAAATGCTCCCTGTGTGAAAAAAAAACAAAACAAAACAAAAAACAAAATAATTTAGTTTCATTGACATATGTGTACATCTAAAAGTTCTATGTTCTGTATCTAATGAATTGTAATAACATTTTTTCACAGGCTGCACATTCATGAATAAAACTTTGTACCAAGCAATTCAAGGCCAGCAATATATGGTAATCATAATGAGCTGAACAATAACACAGCCCATAGAACTCACAATAACATGGTTTCCTGGTTTATTCCACTTCAATCCGACTCACAAACTCTCACGAAACTCGATGAAAAAACCTCAAAGGAAAACCCGCGCTCACAATATTTTTACGACTCGTCCAGTTCTAGCTTACTCAGCACGCACGTGCTCATTACCTTATTTGGTAGCCCTAGCCCTAATTTGGTAGTGCTGCTCAACGTCACAAAACTGTGAGGGGTAGGGTTGGTAAAACTCTCGTACAATAATGAAAGGTCTACTTGTATTTTAGTCAATTACTATGGAAAGTGACCTTAATAGTAATAATATTGATAATTATTATTCTCACTAATTTTCACATATACTTCATTCAGCAAGAATAAAAATGCCTAACTAGAAATATGAATTTTGCAAACCCTGGTGAAATTCAAAGTGACACTCAAGTTAAGCCTCGGAATGTGGGGTTACGAATTACTTGGGTGACGAGCCAAAAATTAGCTGTCATGAGGACCCCTACTTTTTCCTATTAATGTATTCTTTTTTTAGTTGTTTGTTAATGTTTCATACAGTATGTGGTTCTTTAATGCATATTCAGGGTTGTCACTGAGATTTCAAGTTGCACTCATAGTAGCCGGGGGAAATCCCCGACCCCCAGCTCTTAATGACAACCCTGATATTGTTATGCATATTCAGCATTACGTCAGTCATCATATTGAAAAAAAAGACAAGTTCACAAGTACCCCCTTATATAAGCTATAGGTATGTGCCCCCCCCCAATCGGGAAGGGTTTTTGTACCATTTTGGTCTGAAAACGGGAAGACACTTTGCCCATTTTGCTCTGGAATCGGGAATGGCTTTTTGAGGGAACTACAGGATTGTATGAACATCTTTATTGTTTCAATTCCAAATGAGTAAGAAAGAAAGAAAAATATTGCAAATTCGAAATGGATTTGAAGAATTTTTTAGTTTGCGCTCTAATCTAAGTAATGATAACATAATTTCTGCCTAAAGGCCAGGTCTGAAAATGGGTCTGGATTTTAGAGGTCTGGTCAGAAAACGCGTGTGGAAAATTACATTTTTTGGTCTGAAATCAGGTCAGGATTTGGAGAACCAGGCAGCAAACCCCCACCAAGAATTCCCATGAGTACCCCCCCCTTGGGGAAACAGTCAAAACAATGGAGCAAGTTTGTCGCTTGATGATGTCATAAATGCGGATAACAACAGATGTAATAAATATACATAGCTGAAGTCAGACTTCAATCCTTATACCATAAAATGTCAGGTAGTTAAAAAAAAACAGAAAGAGAATAATATCTTACCGGCCAAGGCCCATCAAAATGATAAGTCAGAGGATTTCTAAGACCATCTTTACCAATGATATGACCATACCCTGGAAAAGTGAAACTATCATCTCCCAAGACGTAGGTCTCCCATCGTTTCCATGCATGAAAGAAGCTAAATACTGATAACGGATATGATGCCACATAGATTCGGAAGAAGTTTTCACAATCATTGGGGCACCAACCAAATGCTCCACAGCAATCACAACAAGATCCACTGTAATCTTTACCACTAGGATTATTGAAGTCCAACAACTGAATTGACAAGGTTCCTTTAGGATTCACAGGCTTTAAATAATAAATAAATAAAACATTTATTCAATATTATATTACTTATACTAAGAAGTATTACTACTGAGAAGTCAACCAAAACATTTAAATTTTATCAGAAATTAAAGCTGGCTTTAAGCTTTTTTTATAACAAATAGGTTTCCCCCCTTTGCACAAACTAGATTATCAATCTTATCTTATTAAAGAGTAATTTAATTCTATACAGTTTGATAATTAGAGTAAAATGGTAAATGGTTAAATACTTAGTTTTATAATCAAAATATTAGAGTATATTTTGATCTGTGCAGAGTCCAATGGAGGAAACGCACTTCAGCTTGGAAAAATGCCCGAAGTCAGGACTTAGAATTATACTTGAAAAAAATGCTGGTGATAATTTGTCTGTTTAGCACACCTTATTTTCAGGAGTACGACAATATTTGGTCTGGCACAGAATCAAAAATATTTGAATAATAGAAATCCACAATAAAATGTATATTAGTGAATTCTTTCAGTATTATTCCACTCATTAAATATCATGACTTGTCTTACCACACAGTTTTTCCTGAAATGGTGTAAAAAATGCTTTCAGCAGTTCTGTTTTTAAATAAAATTTAGCTGCATGCTCAACAAGTAAACAGCATAACGGTAACCACATCATGTAACACTGCATAATCTGTACACTCAAAACTAGGCAGCAGTAGCATACAGTACTTCATGTAATAAATACTGAAAAAAATTCTAGAACATGTTTTGGTAGGTTCAGGTGTCGAAAATACAGAGGTGACCAGAAATACAAGTAACATTGCACTTTTCTTTTGGCAGTCTCACATATTTTTTCAAATACAATCTTTCTAAGTAACATGATAATCCCATACTCACCTATAATATTCAACTACATAGTTCAAGTTTTTTACACAAGAAGAATATTGCATTAAATCCTGCATTCTGATATGACAGATCAGATTTGACAAAAGAAAAACAACGGGTTTATTTTATGCCAGAAAAACTTCTATCAGAATTACTATAGAAATCGCCCCACATAAGGTAATCCAGGCCCGGGGGGGTACTCGATATATCGCTGGGTGGGGAGGTGCGGCACGGCCCCTCATACCCTGACCCTGTTTAAGACAAATATCGCTGATTTTCCTACCCTGTTTAAGACAGAATTCCGATTTTTGATACCCTGTTTAAGACATTTAACATTTATCCTGTTTAAGACAAAAATTGATAAATCGATACCCTGCTTAAGACAAAAAATGATAAATTCGATACCCTGTTTAAGACAAAAAATGATAAATTCGATACCCTGTTTAAGACAAAAAATGATAAATTTGATACCCTTTTTAAGACAAAAATCACGAAAAACATACCCTGGCTGGCCACACGTCCCCATTAAGCCCTTACAAGGGAGCACCCCCCCCCCCCCCTCCCGAATCCAGGACAGTCTTAGATTCCAGATTCTAGGAACTGGATTCTGGATTTCCTGTCAACGGAATTGGGATTCCAGATTCCAATCGTTAGTGGGATTCTAGTTTTCTTGTGTTGAATTTCAGATTCCAAATCCCTGGAGTCCAGATTCCACATTCAAAAATTTCCAGGAATCCAGTGCCCATATTACATACCATTAGGCAAATTTGGGTAGAATTGTATAATAGCAACTGCTTTGATTACAAAAAAAACTATTCAAGGCTCAATCTTAGCTTTCACTCATCAGGGCTGCACTGTCTCTTATAAACATTCATCCCTCATTTGCCTGATTATTGACAGAATTAAGAAGCAAAATTAATCCATCAGTTAACACTTTGATCTGTTTTTTCCTTTTCCGCATAGCCAGATGCATGCAGGCCAATCAGATCAGATCAAATGGGTGTTGGAACTGAAATAATAACATTAACAAATCTCTGTAACACCCGGGGGGGGCTCTTTAGGAATTTCTGGGTGGGGATGTGCCGCTGGGACCGTGGAACCCTTGACCTATACCAGAGCTAGTTCAGCTGAATTTTGCTACCCTATACTAGAGTAAACTCCCAAAATCCCCCTATCCTAGAGTAGCTGTTTCCCCAGTCTAGATAAAATCTTCAACCAACTGATCAGTTTCGTGAAAAATGATACCGTATTCTAGACCCAAACGCTCTGATTTATATACCCTATCCTAGAGTAAACTGCTTGAAAACCATACCCTTCACAGCGGCACATACCCATATAGCCCATATATGGCAGTACCCCCCCCCCCTCCCCCCCGGGCTGTAACGTAAGATACGTTTCCAAATTAAATTGAAGCCTTCGTGGTGTTGACACATCGTGACCTTGGGTCATTGATATATAAATATTTATAACTGTTTCAGATATTTTTGACTTATCATCTATAACCTTGATAAATAATACATGTATTTGGGAATAGACTTTGTAGGCTTAAAGCCTGAATTCATTTTAAATAAAAAAAGTTACCAAATTTGGCATGTGAAAAAAGTTTGTAGATACTTTTTAAAGAGATGTGCGGTTAAACAGAGGTCAGCTCACTTTCAAGGATTATTAAAACCACATGCATCTTCACTGTAACTTATCAAAGGCAGGCACACATGAAACCCCACGACAAGTCAACCATCTACAAATCTCTGATATACGATAAACAATATATTCTCTGACTTCTTTATTAAAGCTTCATCACTTTAAATGAATCTTGGCTTATTAATAGCAAACTCAACTCAAAGCATTAGTGTTATGGAAACTCATAGCCCTGATCTGAGCTGCCTTGCAATATTGTTTCATACTACAAAGACTTAATTCAAAAAAATCAACTCAGTGAAAATACATCTTAAATACCCTGTCTTTCACAATTTGGAAGAAACGAAAAAACAAAATTACTGAAATCAAATTACTCAGTGAAACGAGGAACAATTACTCAATTTTTAACATAAATACGCATTAAAAACCAAGGGTGGTCCATTTAGTGTATGCATACTTTTTTAACTCTTCAGTTAATGTTATTTTAATTGCAATTAGAGAAGTCGCAATTAACACAGGAAATTACAATCGTCAAAATCAGTGTGCTTTCGACTTTTTTTCAAGTGCTTAGAAAATAGAGATTTGTTATAGTCACATAGAAAGCTTTATAAATAAATTGTGAAAATATAGAAGTCTTTTGGAAAGGCAGTCAAAGTTGTCAAAACTTTTAATATTTCCTACACTTTAGCCTTCCTTAGAAGGTATCGAAACAAACCAAAACGATATAAAGTGAAGACGTGTCTCCTAACTGTTTAAAAAAGTCTCTGCAAATGGTGTTAAGTTTCTTCGCGTGTAAAGGACGTTTAGATCCTCGATGTCAGAAACCATCAGAATGCACAATATACAGTGAATATACGTCAAAATCAACACAAACTTAAATAAATACTGAATTCAAAGAGCCATGGTGTCCAGTTTAGGGCTTTGCACTTAAGATAAACTTACCTCATAAAAGGAAAAAAAGATAACCAGTATAACAGCCCAAACTGTGGTCCATCTTGAAGATTTCATGGTTAATTTGAGCGGATATAAACTTTCACCAATTAATAACAAACTACAACATCAGCTAGTTTGATCTGCACCCGAATGAATGGACCGCAAAAGACATTCGAGGGATTTCAGTCCACGCGCTACTCTGTTTAGGTATTGTTTGACATGGTTTAGACTAAAAGAAGAGGATTACAAAGTCGTGACGACAGTCATATCATCTTTCCAGAATGAGCGACAAGCGAGCCACTCTTAGTTCAATATATTCCACAGGTGGGCACTGACCCTTCCAGTTCCCTTGGGAACTTGGTCACGTGAGGCAGTTGGTACGAAGGAAGGGGGCATTTGACCGAAACAGGTTCTTTAAAAAAACATTTCATGTTTTTTTAATGTTGGACTTAATCGGAAAATCTGTTTCTTGAAATTTCCTGATCACGAGTGAAAGGCGTTGTGGTCAAGAGGAGGATTAGTGTAACGTGGTCGGTCAGTATAAAATATGGACTGAGGACTGCGGACCACGGACCACGGACTGGGTATATAAACTCTGACTAAAATACAGACTCCGAACTGAGTATAAAAAGCGGACTACGGACTATGATTATAAAAAAAGCTTTAGAAAGGTAAAACTGAGAGAAACGGAATGCGGACTAGCATAAAACAGTAGTCTCAGCTCTTTGCCTCAGACACAAACATTCCTTCAGCTGGTCACGTGCGCAGTTTACGTCTATTCTCCCCTGTCATGTGGAGAAGGAAAGCAAGAAAATCTGAATTTAAAAAAAAAAGGGAAGTTAGAAGAGAATTCAATTTATAGTTTTGAACAATAAGAAGCACCGAATAAAGAAAAATAGTATTGGTGTTAGTCAGAGTAAAATTCTCACAGATGCCACTATTTCATTTCAAATAAAGCCTTGGCGATATGAGGAAATGAAGAACTCAGACGAGAAGGTCAATGTAAAGGCATTCCGCGATGTAAGAAATCGGTATTTAGGGGGGGACGGATTACTCAACTATCGCTATACTTGAATAATAACCAAAATAAATCATTCAACGTTATATGCTAAGCGAGGATTATAACGACATGATTTACACCCTGCTCCTGACCAATGTAAACGTGTAAACATGTACATCGCGTTTGTGACCCCTTTCATGATTGTTAGAAGCCAAGACCAGGTATAAAAAGGGTTGAAGAAAATCGCATTTTGGTCAGGATCAGGATTCAGAGAACTGGGCAGCACATCTCCACCAAGAATTTCTAAGAGTATTCTTAACTTAAACTCACGTGTCCTGCTATTTAGCCGATCTATTGATCTTATTTTACCTTATTTAGAACCAATTGGCTAATTGGTTCTAATGGTGCTATAGCACCATTTTCACCAAGGAGTCGGTAGTCCGTATTTTATGTCCAGTCCGCGTCTTATACCGAGTCCGTGTTTTATACCCAGTCCATATTTTCCAGTCCGGGCTTTTACAAGTAGTCAGTTACCCAGTTCGTAGTCCGCAGTCTAAGCATATTTTATACTGATCGGTAACATGGTACAGGGTGCAGTAGTGCTTTTCGATCCCGCCCACCTTAGCTACTTCACAAGGCAAGTCTCAAAAAGAAATTTCTGAGATATTTAAAGAATAATGAAAACTTTTTAACTGTTATAAAAGGTGGTTCAGTTGACCACCACATTCAAGAGATTTATAATGTACAAGCTAGTCTCGTTTCATTTTCACTCGGAAAGTCTCGGAAGTAGGCCTTATATGGCCGTATGCCATCAGTCTTTGAGTTTAATCCGTTCTTGCTTTACGCTGGTTCCATAGGTCCGTTCTCAAAATATCTAAGATAAAATAAACCGTGCTTACGGTTCGCTTTTGTTTGGTTAGTAAAATAACACCGTTCAAGTGGAAAAATGAATTTTCACTTCCCCAATCATGAAATATCACGCAGACTACATTTCGTTTTTACTGAAACGTTCCTTGATTCATTCGCCTCCGAAATTCGCCATTTCTACACTGCAATGATCTTTCATACGGATTGCTATACCAAAAGAGCAACTTTATATAAAGTATTACAAAAACCTTGCAGTTTTACACTGGTTTTAGGGTTAGCCCCTGGCTATCGACTACTCCCGGTCCATTATAATTAATTGCCTCTCTGCCCATACACGTTAGACATTCTTTACTGAAATATTGACCTTCTTGTACATATATAAAATGTTTGGAGAGTGACATTGGTGTTATCAATGCAAATAAAATTTCAATTTCTTAAGAATTTGGTCCTAAAATGTGTGGATTTTTGGTTCTTGTTGGGAGGTCTTCGTCAGGATGTAAAAGGAACAAGCCACATTCCTGAAACTTATTTTTAAAACGAGTTATTTTCATAGTTATATAGCGGCGACATCATGAGTGTCTGTGAAATGAAACAGAATGATTTTAAGACAAGGATTTGTGAAATTGCTCTTTCTGAACGCTGACCGTCTGCGGTTTTTCAGTTTTTATCGACTTCCTATGTGGTTTTGCGGTTTTGCTAATTGAATTTCAGAGTTTGCACTTTTGATAGGCCTAACTTCTTTATTTGTCTCCAGCGTGGTTTAAATTTTCGCAAAAACAAAAATTAAAAAACACTTCTTACCGCATTGTGAGTTAATAACTTGCGCGAAAATCGAATGTTTCTCGCTAACACCAGAGAATTAAACACTTCTGAACTAGCCAACCTACAAAACATGCAAAACATGCTGGTACCAGCTTGAAACAAGCCCTCCCGGGCTTAGGGCGGGGGGAGGGAGTTAATTGTTTATGAGTGAGCTGTAATTTCCAGACTGCAAGCCGGTAAATACAGAATTGCCACAATGCTCAACGAGTTTCTGGTTATAGAAAGATCCGGTGCTCTTTACGATCAGATTTTGTGACGGACAAACCACCATAAGTATTCATTTTTAAGTGTATATGACACGATTTTGTTGTCGTTCTTAATTGTATGTAAAATATGTATCCTTAATCTGAACTCATAATAAAAATCTTCCAAAATTTATTTTTTCGTCTTCCAACACGCAAATTTCCCCCCCAAAAAGTCAAATCATCTTCAGAATCTTCATTTGCTTCGTACCGTCAAATAAAATCACTGAACTGTCCACAAAACACGAAGCAATAACCAGAATTGAAATCTTAGGCTGAGCAAATCAACTGACATCCATGACGTCATCGGCCTATGATCCTTTTCACTCGTTCCCAGTCTATTGGACATTTCTCAAGGGAAAAAGGGAGTTTTGGGACAGCCAAAATTCATTACATTTTAGGGAGACGCATTTTCAAAATTCAGAACTAAGGACAAAAATCAGTTTAAAAAATTTTATTTCGTATACACTTTAAACAGTTTGTGAAATTTCAAGAAAGGAGGAGACAGGCCAGGATGATAAGCCTCACTAACTGGCGAAAGCATGGGCGTCGTTTTCAAATACAGTAGTACTAAGACGTGTAGTAATCAGTTTCTATTTTTTCAGCCGACAACTGGCAGATGTTGGCATACCGTGGTTTAGGGGCACACATACACCAACCCACGGCCAGGCAAGTACCTCACGCATGTACAGAGCCATATTACCCGGGCAGTGGTAGCCATGGAAAGTTGTTTCGCCCTTATTTGGGATCATCAGCAAGGCAGAGCAGTCGGGTCAATGAATGGGGGAAACCCGTGTCTCAAAAACCCTTTACTGCCGAGGCGAGCGCAAAGCACTCCTTTGATCCGACGGCTATGCTGATGAGCCCCAATAAGGGCGAGACAGCTGTTAATGGCTGCCACTGCCCGGGTGATATGGCTGTGCGCATGCGTGAGGTACTGGCCAGGCCGTGGGTTGATGTATGTGTGCCCCTTGCCTTAAATTTGTCTCTTTGGTGGGATTACGGATCACAAGATATGGGATTGAGATCAGTAGTGGTCTAGGGGGAACAGGAATCTGGTTAATCTAGTGATGAATGCTATCTACGCAGTCCATCAAATCCAGATTCCGGGTTTGACTTGAATCAGGGGATCAACATATTTTCACGGTATCCCATCGGTATCAATTTGGACAATTTATGGCCAAAAAGTGTGGATCAATCGGCAAAAAATATACCTCGTTACGACCTTGCATTTCCACCAGGAAAGGTAGACGAAGAAACAGGCAGTAGTAGTTTTTAGATAGTCATTTTACGACAATTCTCTTTCGTACACAAGAAGAATGTACATAGGGTATATATTTTAATATTCATATTCTTGAATCTGTAAAAAGTCTATTTTTTTTTTTGAATCTATGAATAAAGTTATTTTATTGTATTATTATTATTATTATTATTATTATTATTATTATTATTATAACTTTGATTTGAAACCGGGAAGTAGCTTGCCTTCAGAACCGAATTACTGAAAAGGACAAAATCACTTTCATGCCAACGTAACATTCTCTGCTTATGCAAATGCATACTCATGCCCAAAGGGAGTTGTCATTGGACTTCCATTGCCAAATTCATTCGGACCTACCCCTCCCCTAAGCCAACATTTTGCCTTGCGTGAAAAGTAAGTGTTAATGTTGGCTTAGGGGAGGGGTAGGTGGGCAGTTTCTCAGAAACGTATATTCTTGGCATAGGGGAATAAACAAAAGAAATTAATTATTAATCGAAATCCGCGAAATCTCAATGCGATTTCTTCTGTTTTATTCCCCTCATTGTACCTCGGAGCCAAAATTGCAAACTGGCTTACTTTTCGTTTATTGGCTCTTCACTTTGCCATACAGTTCCAATGCCCTGAATATCTGCAGACATTTCGACGTCATTTAGCAGAGATTTGCGAATTACTCCCGCATGAGACTGACTTAGGCCCCGTAAACATTAACGCCTTCTCGTTTGAAAACGCATACACGCGTTCAGCCTTCCGTCCAGATTAACACACTCAGCGTTTTCATTCAAAACGCATCGATTCAAAAACGCTCTTGAAAGTGGATCAAAACGAAAACGCATACATATCGTATTGGTGGACGGTCGAAACCGGTCGAAAACGCGTCAAAATAAAAACGACGACCGAAAATATCGCTTATTGTAGTATTTGCACAGAGTTCAACTTGCGTCACAACGTGCAATTCTATCGTTTTCGAACGTTTGACGTGTGGACAGTCGAAAACATATCAAAACGGTAGCACGTACGCGAACGATCGATGCACTTCGATGACAACGAAAACGCATACTTCTGAAAAACGTATCAGTGTGGACAAGGCCTTGCAAAAGGGGCATCCATTGTGATCATTCGTCGTGCACAAAATAAACAACAACAACAACAGTAACAATAGTAAATTCTACTACTTCAGACTGGTCAAAAGCAAAATGTTTATTGATAATTAAAGTCGGCGCACATTTTTTCGACTAACTACATAATTTATAACAGCAAACTTTCGACAATCGTCAGAAAGCCCACTGTTATATAGATTTACTTTTTAATCGTCAATGGGTTAATTTGCTTTTACCACTAGAAACTCGAGTACAAAGATATAAACAAATAGGGTAACAAATTTATCTAATTAAACTTTGTTTCGATATCTGAGTTTAAGTATGTATTCCAAAAACTTTATGAGGGCAATGACACGGGAATTCGTCTCCTAAGGTTATTAAAATTATAAGCGAGTACTTGAACAAAGGGATAGTTTTCAAGTGAATCAAAGGAAAAAGCAAAAAGAAGTTTAAATTTCGACACCTTGTCGAAGATATGATGTCACAGCTCGAAGTAAAAGAGCATAATATTCTGTTTGTGGCGAAAAAAAACTGTTGATAGTCCATTTCACTTATTAAGCGTTTCCAACCAAAACACAAACGTCTTAGTAACGTTTTTATTGTTGTAAACGATGGACATCTTTGATTTTTGACTCGTGACAGTGCCACTTTAAGGTAAAAAAAAATGTATTTAACTAACAAAGGCCACAAGGTTACCGTTAAGACTTTCTTTTAGAGACGAAAGAATTAGTCGAAATATATATCACAGTATATTGTCTAATAAATAACAATAATGTTCATTAGTATCGGCATCTGAACCAAACCTGGTAGATACATGTAACAAAACTGATCCCAACTCAAAAAGTCGACCAATGCGTGCAATTTTTCCTTTTTCTTGCACAAGAAAGAGTCAATCCCGAAAAACCCTCTTTCCTCAAAGACTTGGGATACTCTCCATTTACACAGGGAAATTGCGATTGGAAAATCAAATCGATCGCGCCATTCCGTTTTGGAATCTAACAGAAACATAGATATCGTTTGTGGCTATGCATTTGTTAGCTACACCGTTATAGCGGACACTTCGTCTACTAGGTGTTTCTTAAACGTTGAATGATTATGCAGTAGATTTTCAGCGAGATAGTTTGTGTAAAATGGCAAAAGTTCCTCGTGTCTCTACCTAAATTTAACATCTCCCTACCTAAAAAGTAATCAGATTTGGATGTCTTCAAACGCCTCTAACAACAGAGAGATTGAGAGAGAGTCACGGCAGAGAGTCATCAGAGAGGCTAAGCGTCACGTTTACGTCAAACGGCAAACGCGGATCTGTACCACGTGACCAAGTTTCTCATTTACTTGTCGTTTACTGTTCTACACACAAATAAGTAGTTGCACGCTACTTTTATCCATAAGAATTGTATTGAACTGTGTTTATCTGCTCATTTTCTATTTTGAGAAATTCTCAACTTGAATCTGACAACTGCCGTATGCCGTAAACGTTACTCTTAATAGAGTAATTTAGAATCACGTTTACGCCACACGGCAAACGTGAATTTGTACTACGTGACCAAGTTTTCCCCTTAATTGCCGTTTACTGTTTATTGTATCTACTCAAAAATACGTAGTTTCACGCCAGTTTTATCCATAAGAACTGTTCTGGATAGTTTTCATCTGCTTGTTTTCTATTCTGAGAAATTCTCAACTTCACTCTGACGTTTGCCGTTTGTCATAAACGTAACTCTTAATCTCTCCCATTGCGCCTGCTAAACCTAAGGAGGTTACAGTGAGAGATCGACTAGGCGAGGAAATTCTAACCTTACAACTAAATTATTAAAGTTGGCAGAGCGTCGGGTTTATACAAATTTTTGCTTTTGATAAGTAGCTGTGTATCGATGTGTGAAAAAAGGAATAATTTGTAGATCCAAAATTTTCCGAAATTTAAAATTCTTTCCGTTTTTCATAAAATCAGATGGTATTTACTTGAACTGAAGTCTGACTTCGCTTTTAAGTAAGAAACACATCGCATTTCAGTGTCAACTACATTCGTCCGATTTGGGGAACTCTCCAAGCGTATGAGGGAGCTTAACCAACGACGACGCTCACGGCAACGAAAACGGCAAAAAAGCAATAGCTTAAGGCCCCGTCCTTTGAAACCGGAAATTTTTTTCCCTTCCGTTTGCGAAAAAATACGCGTCCACAAGTAGCGTACTCGAATCGTTTTCGCCAGTCCACAAAACGATGGAAGTACGATAGCATCCCTCACAGAGCATGCATGGTGCTATTAGTACATGATGCATGACGTCATGACGTATTAGAAAAATTCCGTTTTCGTCCGTCCACAAATAAACGAAAGTCCGGCGTTTTTAAAAATCTCCACTTTCACATGACTGTACATTTATGCCCCTATCAGCTTCAGTAAATGCATATAAATATTCGTTCTTCCCTAGAACAATCCCGGTCTGGAATGGTCTTCCTTTTTCAGCGGTGCATGCGTCATCTCTCAACCTTTTCAAAGCTAGTATTGTGCTTAATTAGTGTTATTTTATTAGCTCTCTGTTCTTGTCAGCTGCTTGTGTAATTTGCTATTCTGGTCCACAGTTTATTTAGTGCAATGTAAGTTGTATTTGTTTAGCTAGCCGTTGACCAGCCATTGCCAGATTAGTATACTAATGGCAATTATCACAATTAAAGATTAAAGACTCTGAAGGGCGTCTTTGAAAAGATGCGTTTTTTCCGTGACCGTTTTCACCGGATACGTGTCGACGGTGGGCCAAACCGGAGGAAAAAAATTTCCGTTTTCAGTCAAAAACGTATACGTGTGGACGGGGCCTAAGATTAGCAAAACAACAACTCTGCACATGCATCACGCCTTTTTGTACATTTCTTTGCCGTCGTTGCACGACTATAACGTCAAACTTCCTACCTTCACGTTTTAGGGAGGATGTCCTTTATAATTTAACTCCAGAAAAATTCGCCAACATTTGACCATGTGAACTAGATGAAACAAGCGCGGGCAAGTTTGAAACAGCGAGAAATTAATTCTTAGGTGAAGTTTTCGTGGCCGTCACCATCGTCGTTGCTTAAACTATCTATTATCTTTGGGTTATCACGCGACGCTACAACCCGAAACAGACAGTCTCCCAGGCCGTCACGCAAGGCTACAAAAGCGGCCTTGCGTGACTGCCCAAAATAAAACGTACTCTAAGGAGACCACCCATCCCCCCCACACCCCAAGATGCAGTCATGTCTTAAAGCACAACACAAGAAAGCTAAAAACACTTAACAGTCGCGACATTTTTGCATTAAGATCACGGCTATTAAAAGTCTAAAAATACACGGTTGATCACGTTCTAAAAAGATAAAATTCTCATTCTGCAATAAAATTTTCTTCATCTCTTGCTGTTTTTTGTTCACCTATTTACAATGTAAATTTAGCAGTTAATAAGTATTATTAAACATAGTTATCGCTCACAAATTGCGTGTTGACGAAAGAAAAGTCCTTAAATTCTTCCTGGTTTATGTTTGCGATTATATTCTTCTCCGTCGGTGTCAGCTTTGGCTGCTCCCTTGTGAAATCAGTGTCGAAGTTCCCAACGTCTGTTTTTGATCGCTGTGGGAAAAAGAGAGAAAATTTAAAACAACAACAAAAAACTGGCTCAGTCTGTAAACGGCTGATTGCAGAGCGAGAGGTCGTAGGTTCGATCCCCAGAGCCGTACCAATTCTTGGCTTGCAACCACGTAACAAGGCGGCCATGTTGGGGGTCAAAACAATAGCATTTTTCTCCAAGAATTTACATGAAAATAGAGTTTAGTTCCCAGAGGAGAGAAATGCTCTTATTCTTGAGCACCAACATGGCCGCCGTGACGTCACGTGCAAACATGCAATAACTGAGAAATGAAAGTACTGCGGAGCTTTGTTCTTGCAAGCGGATGGACGTTCGAGTGGCTACGTAAATTGGCGGTCCCGCCTCCTGTGGGGGACTTTAACCTTTTAAACCCTAGGATCAAAATTAAAATTCTCCTTTGCCGCCCTTATTCATTTACTATAGAAGTAGTGGGGAGAAGTTGATAAAATATCAAGAAAATACATCTTGTGTGATCATGTCCATAATTCTCAGGACCACTCTGTTTTACAAGGCATTGCTATTACAAGGAGAAATTGATACTGATCACTCTTAGGGTTTAAAGGGTTAAAATAGTGTCCTCACAATGAGAATCAAATAAAGTGCGATTTTCTTCTCTCTGTCTTTTGCCAAAAGCAAAGCAACTAAAATCGGGCAGGGTAGTTAGCACCCTTTCTTTTCGCTTTGTAATGCTGGCGCGATGGCCAAGCGGTCAGCACACGAACTTCAGGTTTGTAGGTCCCGGTTCAGACCTTGCAGTTCCGTAGTTCCCTAAGCCAAGAAACTTTGCTTCGCTTTAATTTGTCTTTCGACAGCCCCGGCGTATGAATGGGTAACGGAAAAATAGCCCTGGGGGTATCCCCGCGATGGACTGACATCCCATCCAAAGGGTAATTCGCGCTACAGAAACTAGGATAATTCAGGACATGAGAGCCTCACAGCTGGCATGAGAACTTGGGATCGGGCGGTTCAGTCCGGCAGAAGAAAAACTTCTTGTTGCATAAATAATAAAGATCATACGAGAACCGAAAATCGCGCAAAAAAAGCCTCGGGCACCAGGTTAACTCAAACTAGGCAAGAAGATACGCGCCAAAAAGCGAAAACTATATTACGCAATAAACCAAATTACTAACGTGACGTAACAATACCTCTCGCGCACAGAGCTGGGACAAGCGGTAAAACAAAATAAAGACGCTGTATTATTACCCGTGAAAAAATCAGCGGCTATTCACTACGAATAAAAATAGAAGATATGGTATCCTGGACGGCAATCCAATGAACAGGAGATTCAGCACACAGGATGGTACATCGCTTAACCCGGAAGATGCTGAATGTGTTCCATCCCATAGATGTTTAATTTTGGACCAGAGTTTCGAGGCGCTTAAATCTGCGCGTTCATCGACGGAAACTATGAAAGGAGTACAGCAAGAGATAGAGCGTGCCGTGAACACAGAGGGAGAGAAAAATGACAAATATAAACAGAGCGCTACGGAGTACACAAGCTTAGCGGAAGAGATTGACAACACAGCTCACGGATTAGAGGACACGACGCCAATCACTGGGGGAGATAAGACCGCAAAGTGTACAGAAAATGAAACCAGACAAACAGTAGTCAGAGAATTGCATCATGGATCCTGAAATGACTGATGGTTTAATGTAAATTGTAGAGATATTAACCAGTCTCACTTAGGAACATAGGTTAGTCAGAGTGACCGACAATGTAAACTGTAAGTGCAATACTAGCAATTTTAGCGTAGAACAAAACTAGAAACGCTAAGTGTTTCATAATTCAAAGTCGGGAGTCAAAAAATATTTCAGGCAAAATAATAGAAGCAAGAAGTTGAGAAACAGACAGAGAAGTTAACATTCCTTCGAGGTTTTATGTAACGAAAGCTGCAACTCAGGTCTTTACAAGCTTACACGCAACGCACAAATCTCTTTTTCGCGAGGAAGCCAGTTAAAGTGTTGCCCCCTCGCACCCCTCGGCGTTGTAAGGAGGCCACGTGACTGGCCACTGCGTTTTTTTCCTTTTTCCCTTTTTTTTTTTTTAACATTAGACACAGTATTGAAGAACTGTGCGATGAGTTCGACACTTCTGTGTTTGTGTTGTTACGCAACGTGTCGCGCAACGTTGCTAGGAAACCCCGTTACAACGACTAGCCAGGCAGGAGTGTTTTTTCACGCCTGGGACGACAAAACGCGGTGGTGTTAACCATTTTGGGGCCACACGGGAGACTGGGTCGGTGTTGTGTTCAATTGCACATTCCTTCGAGGTTTTATGTAACGAAAGCTGCAATTTCTGACACAGTTTCCCGCGCAACTTTGTAACAGCCAGAAAAAAAAGACAGCGACCCCAAAACTCCCATGGTGCAATTCGGCACAAATAAATGCCACAACAGCAACCCAGCCTCGGGCTCAGGCTCTGTTTCAAAATGGACAATAAACAGGGCGTTCGTAAAGAGAGGTTCTCCTAAAACTATTATCCACTGGTTCTAGTTGTTCAAACGATGGATAGCGCTATCCAGCAAATAAAACACTATCTTTTGGATAATTAGTAATGGTAACAGGACTGAGTGGAGTCCAATTCGGTTTGTAATCATACGAGTGATTAAAAAAATAGGACGACCGCGTAGCGGGAGTCCGATTTGTTTAATCACGAGTATGATTACAAACCGAATTGGACGACACGAAGTTCTGTTACCAATTAATCATAATTGGTAACAGAATACAATAGGCTATTTTTTTTAATCAAAACACAAGAAATTCGAAATTTTGTTTTGCTAGCCGTGAAAAAAAAAAGCCATTTAAGCGCGCGCGTGATGGCGCGTACTGTCCAATTACTTAGGCATGACGCATACTGTCCTCCTAAACTGTTCAATTAAGGCTGAAATCAGGGCAGTTGATAGCCAATCAGATTTGACGATTTTTGTTATAGTTATGATTATTAGAAAAATCAATTGCGTTATCCACTGGAAAGAGATTGATCCAGTGGATACCGCTATCCGCCTTTTCAACAACTGGGGCCTGAAGAATATTGAGTACGGTTTATGTTTTTATGTCGCTTTGCAACTTGTTCTATGATAAGAATTATCTCCAAGAAGGATTTTAACCCGTCTGCTACAACTCAGTGGGAAAATGATCGTACTATAGGTCATATTTTACTACTTACTATTCTTGGTTTAAATGGAGGTGTAACTTGTCTTGCTTCTAATCTTTCCCAGTCGATTTCTCTAAAGAATGGATGATCCAGAATGCTTTGCTCTCCACTAGCTGTGCAGCCAAGCCTTTTCTGGCAGTTTTTCGTCATGAACTGTAGTACAAAAACACAAATTTCATGTCAATGACAGTACATACTGCTCTGTATAAAAGGGGGGGGGGAGCGGGGGTAGAAAAAAAATTATTTAAAGCTTCAGGATGATAATTTCAACTCTTGTGTAGCTCGAGCAACGTCCGTAAGGTACCCAGCGAACCACCAACAACCTACCCTGGGTACCAGAGGTTTTTTCTCGCGTGCGACGGGGAGCTTCGTTTCGTCGGCCGAAGGCCGAAGACATGAGCAGCGAAGTCTTTTAAGACTAGACCGAAACCGGAAACCGCGCATGAAAAGTCTCTGGCACCCAGGGTATTAACAACATCATGTTGTAGGTCAAAATTAAATGGAAAATGGCCAATCAAACTAGGTAAAAAAATTTCAACCTAAATTACCATTTCTGAAGTGTCTACAACATCTTACACAGTAAAACGTCTCCTAAAAGACAGGAACTGAACTGTGCATGAGAACAGCATTGTTGTAGAAAAGTAGCATGAACTAGTTTAATACTTATATGATTATATTTACATTCTTACCCCTTTCAGTATGGAGACAGCTTCCTTGGTAAGCCAAACAGGATAAAGCACATCATCATGCTTAATAGACTCAAACAGGTCATCTTCATTGTCAGCTTCAAAAGGGGGCTATAAAAAGCAAAACAATTAGGGCGGTTACAAGTTCCGGCTTCAAGAACTCTGGATCGGACAGACATTCATCATATCAGAATATCTGGTCATCTTTTGACATTCTTCAAACGGTGCATTTTGTATTTTTGAGTACATTTTATTGAGAAATTGAACGTCTACAAGAGGAGGTGCAAGAAGCAGCTTGGGACGAAAGCTGCTTTTGCCTCATAGCCGCCTTGTTTCTAAGGAAAGAACGAAAACTACAAGAAAAAAACGCGAGAAGGGTCAGCGAAAGCCACGTGTTGCGAGAGAGAAATAAAATTTTACAACAACAGTTAGAGAAAGGTCACGTGTGTGTGCCCACAGACACTGGAGACAGAGTTTCCTGTGAGTCTCAACTAACCTGTCCTGCCATCATCTCATACATAAGAACTCCTAGCGCCCACCAGTCCACAGAGAAGCCGTAGGGTTTTTCTTGAAGAATCTGAAATATATTGTCAATAATGACTACACTACAGCTGGAGTTACTATAGTCATGATAAGCTTACCGTTAATTACACATCTGATTATGGTCGCACATGAAGTTCTACCTATCAAAAACAATGGCCTCCCCAAGAAAAAATCAATTTTCATTTTAGGGCATTTTGAGTGACCAAGGGAAATAAAGAATCAAAATGCCATCTTTGTTTTCCCACAATGTTTCTTTTTACTTTCAGTGCTTTGAAACATTTACAAAACAATATTCTTTCAGTTGCCAGTGCTTCCATGACAACCACACAAAGATTTCCAACAGTCACTAAAGCTTCCAGGAAACACTGGATAGAGGGGTTCAAACCAAAAAACCCTTTGTGGAGGGAGGGGGGAGTGTGAATTTTTTTTTTTACTTTTCTGGAACCACACAGTAATTGAAGAACATTTGCATGTTATTTCAGGGCCACATAAAATTAGGGACCTTATGATCCGAGAAAGGTGATGTCTAAGAAAAGGACAGTTTAAAAGAGATTTTGCATCCTTTCAAACTTTTTCACGATTAAGCCAAGTCGCATAAAGAGGAAGGAATTTAGGTTGGAGCTAAAGAGAGGGGACTGCGCCCGAGTTCAGACAGAGGTGGCAGAATGTTTAATGCCTTGCCTCTCCCGTTCTCAAAATTTGGCCATTCAACATCGTAGTTGTGCAGGGATGGAAAAGAAATCTACAAAAAAGCAAGCAGGGTTCTTGTTTTGCTCATTTAATTTACTGTTTTGTTTTTTTGTTGTTGTTTTTCTTTTTACGTTCCGATTGCCGTCGCTGTCATAGTTTCGTAAAATCCAAAGAATTTTGAATCAAATGGTTTAAAATAATCAGGAGAGGACCTACTGCCCTACTGACCACAGCTGCTCTTTATTTCCTACCTCAGGAGCAATGTAGTCTGGTGTTCCACAAAACGTGTTTGTATAGCCTCCGGGTGTCATCCCTTCTTTACACATTCCAAAATCTGCCAACTTGATATGTCCATCTTTGTCTAAAAGTACATTATCTAATTTTAAATCCCTGTTGGATAAATCAAATCCATGGTTAGATGACAAACTGAAGGAAAAACCGATTTATGTTTTTAATATGCTGTCCTTTATATGTCATTGTGGTGTTATGTGCCTAAAACAACAAGTGTGAGTAACTTCTTTTGGACAAGACATAAACAAATCACCAATAAGAGGATCCTGCAAGCAAGCCGTCTATTTGGAAACTGCAAGAATCAGAGCCCATGTGCAAGGGAGCTACAAAGGATCTTGACCCCTCACTTCTCAGGTAGATTACAAGGTCAGGAGACCACTCATTTTCCTCAGGGAAATTAGAGCACAAAACATGAGTGGGTGTGAAAATTGCCACCAACTAGGAAGGTGACATGTAGAGGGAAGAGAAAAAATGAGGGACTGTATCTATCCCTTACTTACTAGAAGGCTGTCAGGGCATCAAAAAAATTTATCAAACCTAGTCTACCATGGCACAACCTCTTACATGAGAGCTTCCTTGGAGGTAGACTGTGAGCAGTCTCTTATTTTCCTTTTGAATCACAGTATACCATGTAGATCAAGAGCATGAGTGAGGGGTGAGTAACAAACCCCATTAATATGCATAGCTTTACTTTTTCGCTCCCCATGCGTGGCTCTGAGGAAAGAAGGACGACCACTCACAGTCTACCTTCGAAGAAGGGTCAGACATAAATGGTACTGTTTGTGTGGATGATGCTCTAACAAAAGCAGTCCACTACTAACATGGACTAACTTTTTTCTATTTCTTTCCTTAGAAATAAAATAACTTAGTGAAAATTGTATGAATAAGTGTAAATCAAAATAATCTGGTTACTTGTTCAGTGTTTCTACACCGACTCTGTTTTGAAAAGACGGGAAACATGTTTTTTGTCAATTACAGTAGAAACTCAATAACTCGAACTCAGATAACTCGAATTCCCCGCTAACTCAAACTAAATTTCCTTTCCTTTGATCAAAATTTCACTGAAATTTACCCCAATAACTCTAATTTCCCGATAACTCGAACAGTTTTTATTTCCCTTTCCGAGTTCGAGTTACTGAGGTTCTACTGTACTTTTGTTTTCATTGAGGCCTTTATTGGCAGCGTATTGACAAGAATCAACTCTTGAGTTACCCATAGTGTTGAGGCAGCAGTGTTCACACTACCAACATAAGCTTCTCATGTGGTACTATGTTGCTTGTGTGAACCACACTGTAGCTGCTACCTTGCTTACCTATAAATAACACCATGCTGGTGTAGGTACCGGAGAGCCAGAACAACTTCTGCAGCATAAAACCTAAGGATATAGAATTGATAATGACTTAAAGGGGCTATATCACGCTATTTTTTGATCACTTGAGTTCCAAAAATAATGGTCCAGTTTCGTTGTTTAAGACTATATTTAGGAACTGACACTATTTGCTGTTGTCTGTTGTTAGGGATGGCAAGGATGGACATAGATTAAAACTTGAAAAAGTTTTTAATGCTATGCCTCCAAAAACCACCAAAAAAGTTCTTTTATGACCTCAGGACATAAGGCTGGGATGATGGGATCAAAGAATCATTACACACACCTAGAGCGCTTTTCATCAAACTTTCTTGCTTTTTGAATTTGGAACATCAAATCGCCACCATTGACATATTCCATAACAAGAAAGAGCCGATCCTGAAGGGACAACAAAACATGGATACTGTAAACTTCTGATTATAAGCCCCCCCCCCCCCGCTGTCATTTATAGACCCATCTACCTGTAAACAACAAAATACATCTGGTTATAAACCCCCCACCCTTACAAAGTTGTACAAGCCCAGGGCTCATCAAAGCATTGATATTATAAGGAGAAAGTCCACACTGATCACTCTTAGGGCTTAAAAAGTTAACTCTGTTGGCATTTGTCTCTACCCTGTTACAGGTGGGAGGGAGGGGTAGGGAGGGGAAAGGAATCAGAAGGCCAGCAAACATGAACCAGTTACTATACACAGCTTACTGTATTTGTTCCAATAAGCGCTGTGACACTTATTCTATTTTTCACACCTCAAATGTGGTACTTATTCCAGGATGGCGCTTATTTGAGGGTGACGTTCATTTGAAAGTTGGATGTGACAAGGAATTGTTTTAACTACAGTATTACCGTATTGTTACCTGTATTAAACTGACAAAATTAATGACTATTGATTTTTGTTATATAGGGGCTGCAGCGCTTATTCAGGGGCCATGCTTATTAAATTTTTGTTGTTTCAAATGCAGCGCTTATTCAAGTAAATATGTTATGCAAAAATGTCCCCATAAACATCATCCAGTTAGCCCGGTTAGCCTGTAATAAAACTGAAAGATACTCATAGCCAGTGCAGATATGAGCTCTAAACTTAGCCTAAATTGCATAAAGCAACACTGAAACAAAGAGACAACAATCACCTCTGTTTGAAAGCTGCAATATAAAGCTGTAAGATAAGGATGTCCTGCAGACACAGTTAACACTCGTCTCTCAATCATTGTACACTCTACATCATCATCCTGTAGAACAGTTTCTTTCTTCAAGATCTTTACTGCAAAAATGTCGTCAGCACCTTTTCTTTCTGCTAGCAGAACCTGACAAACAAAAATAATGTATAAGGAATGATTACAAATTAGCTGTGTGATGGACATTTTGCTGTCACCATCTTTGCTTTCATGATATAGCTATTTCAAGAAAGGTTGTCGGAAAAAGTGCACGTGACAATGCCAAAAGGTATTGTGAGTAGTACTAAGTTCACAGTTCTTCAACGAAATTTGAAAGAATGGCAGAAGAGGCCATGGAAGTATGTTTGTGAGTGCTAAAGGAAAGCAACAAAAGTATTTTTGACAGCTACAATGTCAGGAACAGTGTATTGATCGTATCCCATATTACCCTTCGGGATTGTCGCGTGCCCTGTTTTTCTGACAACCTTTCTCAAAATAGCTGTATACTCTTAGGTTTGACAGACCTTCATTAAGTGGTCAGTTAGCCATTCCCTAAGGGTGTAATACAGGCTTGACGGTAAAGAAAGACCAACGGTCCCATAAAAGCAATGAAAGCTATGGAAAGAGAGATAGAATTGCAAGGAAAGTTTTAACTGAGATCTCTGGTAGTAACATCTGAGCATGACCCTATTTTTTCCAGGTTGGTTATGCCATTTTAAAGCACTTTTCATACCTGTTTTGCGCAAAATTCACCATTCAAAAATCCCACTGGTGACATCAGGACAATTGACCAATAAGAGAGTGATAGATATTTTGATGCCAGTCCCCGCATCAGCATTTGCCAATCATTTTTTTCTTGCATGAATTTATACTATGATTCAATTCCATTCAGGCAAAACAAGTCTACCTCACGACTCACTCAGTCATTGCACGATCTCTTCGCTCACTTTTCCTCATTGACGTTCTCTTTGCTTGCTTTTAAGAACTTTTGAGAGGTCGATTTGTGGCAAAGCTGCTCATGACTACACCAAACAGACACTTACCTTACCAAAGCTGCCTTTTCCAAGCACCTTAATAAAATTGAAATCTGACAATCCAAACTTCTTTTGCCGTCGTCTCATTCCAGGTGATGTCTCCAGGTCATTAGGTGTTATTGGAAGTGGTTCAAGGTGGTTTTCCTTTCTTTTATCATGTTTTATGTTTGTTCCATTATACTCAATTGAGGGCTGTAAAATAAACAAAGAAAATCATGATCAACTAAAGGGCATGTTAATGACTCCAAATATTGGATGTACAATCGAATGATAGAGCCCACAAGAAAGAACAGAAAAATTGGTACTGAGTCCACAAGTTTTCCATTATAAAGCATTACAAGTATGGCTTGACCATATAACTCTTAAGAGCAAAAAGCATCTTATTTCTCCTGCAAATATAGTGAACAAAGGAAATTATCATGGTCACCCATATAAAACAGGGGTGCCTTCCACTCCACTAGGAACACCTGGGACCATGGCCTCCTTCTTGTGTCCTAAATATGAAGAATAATAAGGGCCAGGAGACAAAGGAAAATGAGAATTAAGCTGGGTTAAAAAATTTTAACCTGAATTTAATTTTGACCCATAACATATGCAAAACAGTGCACAGAGTATGCATGCTGTTATGCATGGTTTGATACATTAATTTCCAGACGATGACATTTTGAAAACCTTATCATTTAACTTTAGCTTAAGCATTCTCTTAACCTTTTATCTCTAAAAATGACAAAAGTGTCATTTCAGTTCCAAGGTCACCAGACAAAGAAATCTACACCACCAACCTTTTTCACCCTCATTGATTCTGACAGTATGTTTCCAGTGAGTCCCATGTCTTTTAAACGCTGCGCCATCTCTTTGGCATTAATACCACAGTTATTGGCAACATTCCTGTGACATCTCTTGTGAACGTTCATCTTGCAAGCTGAAACATGCATAAAATAAGCTTAATTTTCTCAAGTGATATCAATGAGAAAATGTCTTGGTTCCAAGATTAGGGGATAGTCGGCTAAAACGTTCACTTATAAGACCACTGGAGTCTGCTTCCAATAATTTTTACTGTGATTACATAGTTATTTATTCACTTTTTGCTTACTATTTTTTGTTGTTGTTACTAAAGATAGCTTAGCAGGTTTCAATAGAATACCCAACTGTATCAACAAGGGACTGTTAATCCCATACCTCTAGGGGGGTCTGGGGGAATGCTCCTCCAGAAAATTTTGAAATTTCAAACCCTAACTAATGCGATTTCCAGCCTTCTGGGGATTAAATTGAGTACAAAAGAGTGTGTTTTTTGTTCAAGAAAATGTACCTTTCATTCAGGTTCCAATTCCAATCAACCACACAACTTACAAGCAATGAACAAAGACACATTTGAATGAGAACAAATTCTGTTGAAACCTCCAAAGAAATGAGTGAAGAATTGACTGAAATACAGCATTTGCATAACTCAAAACCAGTAGGCCTTTACATTTTCATTCAGATTTTATGATATGTCTTTTGTTAACGACATCGTAAGCACTAGTTGCTTCTTCTTTCAGGGAGAAAAGTAGCCGACTTTTCTGAGCAAAATAACCAACATGTTTCGTCGGTCGTCGGTGCTTATTGAAACCCCTGAGAGGTAGATCAATTTATTTTGTTTTATTAATTTTTTATAATTGTGGGTAGGTTAAAAGTACATGGAACTTGTGGGGACTTTATTGTTCTTTTGTCCCATACACAGAGCTTGTACACAAAGCTTCACAACCCAAAAGAATTTGTCAAAATTGCTTTTATTAACTGCCACCTTGACTCACATTCTTTACAGTCTCATGGGAGCTGGTCTGCCTACTAAAAGAGCCTTTTTAAGGCCCCATAATTATACAATTATATATATATATGCATGCTTTACGATGAAATAGTCAAGTTACACCAAAACAGAATGATAGCAGTGAAAGTACTTAACTTCACTAGCCTTTCAAATTGCTAAAACAACATCTGGTGATTTTTTTTTGCTGAACTATTTTATGTAATATATCAAACATGAGACGCAGTGTTTCATCACCAGATGAAACACCGAGAAGAGAGTTGAAAATACAACGCGCAGCGGAGTATTTTTGACGAACTTCGAGGTGTTTTATCTGGTGATGAAACACTGTGTCGAATGTTTGATATTTCTTCTCAAACAAAATCATTTTTGAAGGAGAAATTAAGGATGCAAATACTGAGCAGTTTTTCATCCGATTTCCAAACACTCATTAAACATTAATTTTCTTTGTATTTTCTTTATGAATTATTAATGAGTTTGAGAAAATTATTGGAAAACTCTATTTGTGGGACTGTAGGACCAAACAAATCCTTCCAAACATTTATGGATTTAGGGCCAAGATCATAGCTAAATATGAAACAGAAGAAAAAATCAGCAACAAAGAATTCTTTAAAAGAAAGTGGATACTGACGCCTTATTTAAGATAACTGTGTTAACTCCGTATCATTTCATTGCCCTGTTGTACCTTTTTATAATCTCTTTTAGCCCTGTAATAATTTAACAATTAATTTTGCTTTACTCTGTTAATGTCTATTGTTAAAGTGTTTTTTTTTTCTGTAGTATTGTAAATGTAATTATTTAATGTGATTATCAATAAATATATTGAAAAAAAAAAAAAGACATTTGGTGATTTTACAAACCTGAGCACTGCATCCCTTGTTTCAAAAGGCCATAGAGGAGAGAGCCGCAATGGTCGCAAAAGGTTGGTCTCTTATAATTGTGTTCTGAGAATCTGTGGGGCATGTTGAGTTTGAAACGCAGTGAGCCTGTGCTTGATCTTCCAAATGCATTCTGCAATAACAACACAATTGGACAGTCTACATAGTCCTACATTTCAGGCATTTTAAAACACTTTTAAACATTATCCTTTCTTTAAAGACACAGTCAAACCTGTATAAGCAGTCAGTTACAGTGGACAAACATCCAATCAAGTTAGATTATATTGTCATTGTTTTTTAATTTGATCTTTTGTTGTGGAGACTGCCATAACCAAAATAAGGAACAAGAACTCTATCATAAACAAAAGTGATCAGTAAGGACACTCTTATTCCTTTTGACAACCTTAGCACAGTGCTGATGGGCTGTGATGTTTGACATAATATATCCAAAAGTCATCTTGGCTGCAGCAGAAGGAGGCGGTGGCAACAGTGACTGTGCCATTGCAACAGTGGTGGTAGATTGTTGATCATACCATTGGATATTACAACCACTACCACTACCACTACTGCTGGAAGTGGTAGTGGTAGTGGTGGTGATAGTAGTAGTAGTAGGAATATCTAATGGAATGATCAACAATCAACTGCACTGTAGTCTCTTTTATATCTTTATAGCTGGACAGGCCCAACATGAGCTGAAACTCCATCCATGATACAGACTATTACTACTTTATTTATGGGACAAATACCTGATTTTCATTAGGAATAACATCCTGTAAATCTTGTTTCACCCCTGGACACTGAGACACTACCTCCAAATGGCATCGTTTGTGAACCACACAAGTACAAACTATCAACAACAAAGAGAATAACAATTAAATCATTCATTTTTTGGGCTGTGACTACACTGTAGATCTTACAATGAGTACACAGCAGATTTCAAATCATTTTGCTAATGAGGCAAGTGTCATGGTGGTTTGACTAGTCCATGAACCCAAACAACAGGAAACATATCAATAACAACAGTCCACAAAGAGAAAAATCGCTTTGTTTATCTACAGTCAACGCTCTCTGATAAAGTCACCGTTAGGACTGTTATGAAGTGTCCAACAAAGAGTATTAAAGTAACCACAGCTACTGTCTCTGATTACTCTGTTTTAATGCTGACTGGTACCTTTCCAAGCACTGCAGGCTAACAATGTTTCGTAGGATTCTCTACCAATTCTAGACTTTTTCAACCAACAGGAAAGGTTCGCAACTTCCACGACTTGTGTTATTAAATTGACCCCAGTGGCAAAGGCAGCCTCTATTCATAAAATTCTTTGTTTTGAGGTGTTTAAAATACTTTTCGGTCAATTGGTTGACAGGACGGTCGAAAATAAAAGCGTTCATGAATGTGAGGCCCCCCCTCCCTACCCCTGCCAGGAGAGTGTGCCTCTGGTGCATCTTTTTGGCCTTACCAGTCAAGAATGGTCCCTTAACTGCTGAGCAAAAATTTAGGGAGAACACTGTTTGAAGATTTCAAATTTTTGTTTCAGCTTTAGAGGCTTCTAATGCTGCCTTACAGGAAGACAAGATCACCACTCTAAAAAAGGGCAAGCACTAGCCTGCGCCACGGACAAAACTAAGCCTCTGGTTACATGTAAGTATCTTTGTTCTGTGTCCCTAGCAGGGTACCAGAAATTGAGTACATACCTTGGCTGGCCTGTTAAAAAAAAACAGTGCTCAAATAGACCTTATTCATGATACCTGCCATCTTTGCACGTGCTCTAGGATCGATGGGACAAGAGCTACGTCATGTGGTACATGTATTTCGGGGGGGCAAACAAGTGACAAAATTACAAGTAATCGCGGTTGAGTTTGTTTATTCTATCAAAACAAGACGACAAATTCATAGTCATGCAAAATGTACATATCAAGTTTTGGCAAGACTTAGGTCATTACTGTTTGCCAGAGGACATCTACGGTGCTACTGCATACAAAAAAGGTCTTCATTTCCTGTTGTGTAGAATAAACAAACTCAACCACGATTTCTTCCAGGGGCAGATGTCATCCCTTGTTTGCCCCCCTGAGAAACCACAACATCGCTTTCATCCCATAAGTCCTTAAGCACGTGCAAAGATGGCGGGTATCATGAATAAGCTTCTGGTAATTTGTTGAGTGTTTTGTTGGCCCAGAAAAAAGGATCTCAACACTGCTTTGCGGAGTTTTGCCTGGGTTAGATTATGTCTGTGATGCAAGCTAAGCAAGCAATGGAAATGACAGGTTTTGAATCTTTTTACATTCATTACTCAGTTCATACACCTCACTCTACCTTGACATTGATAACCTTGCTTGTTAAATACACCCCTGAAAAAAAAAACAACAAAGGTCTAGAAAGCAGCAGATGCTTGTAGAAACAACGCAAATGTCTATAATTTTAGACAAATGTTATAGCCCATCCATTAACACAAAAGAGGGTAACATACACTGCATTGTTGAGCCAACTTGGTCAAGTCCAGGCAATTAGAGCATACACAAGCTGTTGACTTGGGCAAAGGGATCAACTTTTTTTCTCATATAACTACTCCATAAAGTTGACTCAGCTAGCAGGGTTACCCTCAGTCCCAGGACAACTTTTCTCCATACTAACAAGGTCTTACTGAGTGACTACTGTAAGCAGGGCTGCTTAGACAAAGTTGACCAATCGGATTACAGGAAAATAACAATACATTCCGAGAAAGTTGGGTGTGGGCCAATCAGCTGTTCGTAAAAAGACAATAAGTTACTTGAAGCACAACATTTAAAATATATTGACAGCAAACATTTTTCAAGAAAGGAAAATGTTTCACCAAACAATGTGTTTCTATTTAAAACTCTACCTACAACACCCTGAAGACATGCTTACTTGATTCGCACTGATTATGATTGCCAACTAACTTTCTCGGAATTTATTTTTATTTTCTGTAATCTGATTGGTCAACTTTGTCAAGGTGCCCCCGGATACAATATGTGGTAGTCACACTGTAATCAGTTGAAGAAATTCTACAGAGTGACCCTCCAAAAGAAACCTCTAGCGGTACTTTTACATGACACTATTTATTATGCTGTACTTTAAATAGGTTCTAACTTTTTGAGTCTGTGAATGAAATCCTATAGAGTGACCATTCAAATGAAACTGCCTTATCAGTATTATAACAAGATACTATTTTATCACCCTGTATAGACAGGTCCTCAGTTTTTTAGTCTTATGGATAAAACTCATTTCTGTGGTGAATTGATTCAAATCAAACCTCTCCACAAGAGCTGTCGCACAGTACATATTAGTTTTACAGAGAATTGCAAAACAAAATTGTTTTTTTTTTCACAAACGTTTTGTCCCCTTAGGAGCACAAGTGATGATTAACCTTCAAATTGAAGACCAATCACAAAAAGATTTAGATATTGTTTATTCCAGCCAAAGAAAAATTACAGGCGATTTTATGGTTTGACCTAGGCTGAAAATGAACTTTGTTCCACACTTGACACATCACTGATCAGCAAGAATTGGTGTGATTCTGCTATCAAAGAAATATTGGAAAACCTTACTGAAGTGAAAAAAAATCAATTAAGACTGCTGTCCAAACATGTTTAAACAACTGATTAAATAATTTAAAAAAACTAAAAAAAATGTGATAAATATGTAGAGCTCCTTTCAAATGCACTGAAATATTTACAACATATAGCTATATGCTCCAGTCATTGCACAGGGGAGCAATGCCCACCAATAATGCATTAAAAATTCTAATAAAAAATATTTTTGGACATTAAGCTGAACATTCTCAAACCAATAATATTCTAATGTTTATTTTTTTCAATATTTTAATTTCTAAACGTGGGAAAATGAGATTTAGGCTAAGTTAAACAACTAAACAACTCGAGACAACTAGCCAGCAGTCTCACTTATTATTTCAGGGGCACCCTAATAGTTTCAGAGGGACCTTTGGGTTTTACAGCTTTGGGGCTGAGGTCAGCCCATTTACTTTCACATTGCTGCTCATTGCTCATGCTCATTAGCCTGTTTATTTAATTATTTAACTAGTTGAAAAATTCTCAAGTTTAAAAAATACTGAAATTAACAACAAGCAAGTTATGGAGGCTTGCTAAGTCCAAAAATGCCAACAATCACAAACAGTTCAGTTTTTAATTTACATTCTGTTGCTTTCTAACAAAAAGGGTATTTACAACTTACTACTTTTGCAAAGAAAGCATAATTCAGCTAGGAAATGTTAGATGAATTAAATAAAATATATTACAACATTTTCTCGGCCATAAAAAGAGACCCTATAAAAACAAGGCATCTACTACAAAAGCAAAAAACATTAACTGCAACTTCTGAATTGGAGAATGCCTGCACAATACATCCGACTCCCTGAAAAAATGTCAAGAACAGGGCTGTGCTGTAGCAGAGCCCGGTGGCCCCTGGCACCTAACTTTTGCCCTCGGGCGACTAGAAAATCTCAGATTTTTCATACAAATCATTTGCTCGGCACCCTAGATTTTACAGTTTCAGAGCACTGGGCTCCCTTCAATTTTCCTTACAGCACAGCCTTGCAAGAGTAACTTTTACATTCTGTGTCCAAGCTTTAAAAAATTCTGGACTTAATATCTTACCAACAACTCGAAAGTATTAGTTGCGGTTCCTTTTAAGAAGAAGATTGTGAGAAAAAAAATCAAACCTAAAATTAGAAGCTAAGAATTAAGAATTCCTCAATTTGAGGCTAACTAAAACATGAAGAACGACATTAGATTATGCAGAACAAATGAAGCCCTAAAAAATACAAATAATACCAAGATTATGTAAAAAATTCCATGTAACACAATAACAGGAAGACTTATACACAATGTAACCACTTTTTTAGCATTTCCAAAACTATTGCATTTTTTGTCGCTTTAAGAATAATGTCTTACAGCAACCTTAAAGACTCTAAAAGGTTATGAAGCTTCCTGTCCAAATAAAAGCACTGATTATCTTCCTGTTGGCAACAGCAGTGCTCAGCTCCTGGCAATGAACTCCTGCCTTTGGGTGACAAGGAAGTCTTAATTTTACACCAAAAAATAAATCCTGGATAGATGATTTGATAGGTTGAAAGAATTAATGCTTCCCACAATTTTTGTGGAGCATTAGCCTTGAGACCTTATGAGCCAGCAGACCAACTTTCTGTAAGAACTATAGATTGACAAACACATTCACTTAAACGTGCAGACTAGTAGGCAAGGAAAAATTAGTTAATCATACATCTTATTCAAATTTAAAAGAAAGAATGGCAAACATATACGCTTTTTTACTAGAGATTAATAGAAGTTGTTGTAAAGTATAATTCTTTTCAGCATGTATCAGTGGGTATGGAAATGAGCACCATAGATTATGTAGACCATTCTTTGACACACCAATAGACAAGCCATGGCCAAAATATCTCAAGCCTGAGAATGCATGATCTGGGAAATCTTTAATATCCTTAATTTTGTTTTTATGCTTCTTAAACATGGTAAAATTATAAATATAATGGAGTTTTACCAGAATATATTGAATGATAAAATTATGTGTACAGTGTGAGCCCCTTGATTCTTAAAACTGAACATTCTTGTACATTTGCCAAGTAATCAATAAAGACATTATATTGAACTAAATGTCGTTGTTCAATTTCCAAACATGTTCTTTACTAAATTTGCATCTCAGAGAGCCAGATGTATGATGAATTTTGCTTAAAAAACCAGTGAACTAACTGAGTGTCTTGTCATTTTAAAGTCTTCTAAGACTTAATTTAATTTGGCAGGAGAGACCGCTTGAAGGCATTTCACTTGATACCAGTGAGTGTCAATTTATTTTGTGTTATTGGTTTGCCAATGTCATATTCTCTCAGGCATATGCAAATGTGGTTCGTTAGCAAGCCTTTCAAGATATCCTGTGTAAAATGATGCTGTTACACTAAAGACAAAGGTTAGTACCTCCCTCAAGTTCAAGAAAGTGGAAAGATCAAGATATACGAAGCTCTAAACGACAGGTCTCCACTGTGATAACAAGACACCTTTCCACTAGAAAAGCAAATTACATCAAGCACTGGAGAGTTTCCTTATCACTAAGCATGGACATCTCTCAAGAAGAAACACCTGGCATAAACCAATCTAATTCCAGAACAAACCACTGTTTACGAGGACTAAGAGGGAAAATTAGATCACAAATTCAAACTGTTTCTCGTAAATGCATGGCATTACCCTGCATACAACAATGACCAAAAGAAAAGCAATGGGCAAAGGTCTTTTTCTTGCCAATAATACATACATTAGAAAAAATGTCAAAGAGCAAGGTATTTTATGGTAAAATTGATTCTTTTGAGAAAATTATACACACTTTGCAAGCAACATAAATATATATCTCTATATCTATTTATTTAGTCTTGTCCAGCATTTAAGTGAAGTCAAAATAGATCCACAAAAAAATTAAATCCATATTCATGCGTTATCATACCCTTCATCGAAACTTAACATAAATTGGAACATAATACAGGGCAACATGACTTGGATCCTTCAGTACTTTTACGATATTTTTTAGTAACAATGTGTTTTGAAAGACATTTTGTCAAAATTATGAGATCTAAGTGTATAACTTGTCTAAAAGCAGACACTGCGACTGTACTTGTCAAAACAAAAAATAAGCAACCGAATATAAACACATGTTCAAAACAATGTCTTTTAGTCTAACTCTCTTCTTGTACTGAAAGTCTTTAAAAATTGACAAAAAGGAGAAAATTAAACTAAACATATAACATGAAATCTAGTGTGGCTAAGATTAATATTTGATGAGTTTAATCCCATTCAATTTACTTCTATTGCCTCTCTTCCATTCTTTTTATGCAGAATGCAGTACTTTTTCGAAAGGGTATAATAAGGTCACGATCGACAATGTTAAAATCGCGTGCCCGACGAACATACCTACATAAGAAAACGACTTTCGTTTCGCACTAAAGATCGAGCGTACTACGGCAAAAGTACATAATACACCGAAAAAAAGGTGTTGCGATATTGGTGGGTAAACAAATACACTCGAAGGATAGAGAAGAAATGACAAACGTGCCTGTATAGTGAGTCATAAAGCCTTGTCACTCATTGTAACTGGTATTAAGAATTAGCGTTTATTGAACTCAACAAACTTCGACATGCAGCAAACGACTTAATTTCCGCGGGTTGTAAGATCTTGTAAAGGCACATGTGTTCGGAAGTCTATGCCACGCAGAGCATTATTTAAATGCAAGAGAACATTAATCAAGCAAAGACCGGCTTAAGAGAACCTATTGAAAAGTTGCCGTAGGTTAAAATATGGCTGGGGTTTTTGTATATAGTCACACAACTAAAGCGTGAATCACTTTTTATGCAAAATCAACTCACAAAGGGAAACAATGCAAAACAAGTAAGGGCTAACAGTCGTTCTTACCAAATAAAATCCCTGCAATGACAGCAGTACGTCGGCTGTCTCAGCCAAACTGCCATGAATTTATGACCACTGATCTGGTGTACTCTCCGTCGCATAGCACCCCTTCGACCCTTAATGCCGCTCGGTCTTTCTCTAAAAACTCTTCTCTCGGTATCTGCATGAAGGTGAAAAAACCAACAAAAACAAAACACATACGTTAGTTTACCTCAATTACCCTGAAAAGCGAATTACTCAATACACGGCATTTATTATTCCTGGATCGTCACTGTTTTAAGAAATCTGACAAATTCGCAGCGTCTGCAGAACACGTTAAAGTTGTCGTCGAGTATTTGATCGATACGTTTGCAAAACATTAACCAAATACATAGGCAGCGACGTTTATTCGAATTGATTTGCAAATACGCCCAATCCACGCATTAGTGCCAATTCTGTTCAACTCGAGGACGGGAAAACTACAAAAGGCTATGAAAAAAAGCAATATACAGGTTTTATCGATTCAAAACTCACCCTGGATGGCGGGTTTGAGTTCTATGTAGAGGTGAAGTTTCCCTTCGGGCTCCAAAGGTATCTGAAGATGACATTACAAATGGTATTTAGAAAGAACCAACTTCGCGACTAATTAATTCCTTTTAATGAAAGAGAAATTCAAATAAATTGTGCGTTCCTTCCGTACCCAGATATCGGAGATTCCTTTGACTCCAGAATTCATGATCTCTGACAAAGGAACCGACGAATTTGCCACGAACGGGTCGGGCGGCATTATCGCGTTGTGAAATACAGTTATTCCAAGAGTCTCTCCATTTTCTATCTCGCTCTCAAACTCCTCGTTCCATACAGGCGTCGACGTTTTCTGTTTCGAAGTCGTCTGTGCTATATGGACATCATCGACGTTTACCGAGACATAAGGGTCCATCGATGTGAGTCCACCAAACGTTCTTCTTTTAGCCAGATCGGGGGGTTTCAAGTCCGTCGCCCCAATAACCTTTAGCTTCACAGAGCCCGTAAAACCCACCATGTTGCTGTACAAACAATATCCGTTCAAGGAACGGCGCAGAAACAGTTCTACGATCTACAAAAAGTTTCGCATTGCCTTGTTCCTCCGTAAAACCGAATCATCCAATATTCCACTCGGCGGTAGTAAATGATAACAATATTCTCTCACAGAGCTTGCAGCGGAAGGAGCCAAGAATTTCCCAGCATTCCCAGTACAATTTTCAAGGTCGGAAATTTACGAGAACCATCCGGAAAACATTCGGCTATTTTCGGTAACTTACAGAGTCTGGGTGCGGTAAATCTTAAAGCATCCTAACCGGGTTTTTATAAGAAGAAAGGCGTGCAGCAAAATAGAATGAAAAGAAAATGCAAACAAACTAGGAAACGCACTTTATACTAGTTACTCACTAGCCCGACGGGAATTTAATAATGTGCCGCTGGACAGGGGATCGGTTTTTGACCTCTTTGTCGTAAATAGGGTATATAATTTGGGGCGAGTCTGTCCCAAACAGGGTATGTAATTTCAAGTGAATCTTTCCTAAACAGGGTAATAAAATTGACGGTTTGTCCTAAACCGTATTTGTATGTATTTAGGGAATTAATTTTTTTTGTCGTAAACAGGGTAAGGGTTTCACAACCTCATCCCACGGTTTTTAGGGAAAAGTCCTGCGGGGGCGAGGTTGAGGGTTTCAAACCCTGTGCGGCTGATTCCAAGAGAAATTATTGTTCAAAATACTGCAAAGGTATATCAAATAATATAATTCCATTCATAATTTTATTCAGTTCTTGACAAATTGACATATTGACATCAGTGACGTTTCAGAATTGCTAATAATTTAAAAGGAAAATTTGTCTTGCCGTTCGTCGTCCTCGTCATTTCATTATTTTACCAGGAGCCCATGATTTTACTTTAAAAAACTCTAAAGAAAACGTGTTTTGACTCCTTAAAACTCTGTGAGGACCTGTTAATAAGTTACTTTCCATAACGGAAAATTATTCGACACTTATTTTGGTGAACTAGATATGCTCAAAATAGCCGCATCAAGACGATTATAGAACGTAACGGAAATTGACGTTTAAATGCTCTGTATCGAACACTTTCAGCAGGAAATAGCTAGCAAAAGAGAAACAAACAAACTCTATCTAGGTAAGCGAATTATAAAAAATAATCATGTTAATAAAGGTCGACAAATATAATACGAAATATCATGCGTTTCCTTATGTATAAACTTTGAAAAGGGATGCAATGATGCTCGGATGAGTGTCGAGTTTTCCGCAAATTACATTCATAGCCCCTCCTTGGGTCGAGCAAAGGATTAAATCCTGCTTTCATTCCAGCCTACCACGCAATTCTTAATTTTTAGGAAGGGATTAGACTGGGTGACAAACCAAAAAAGACGAAATTTAACGCTTCCGCTGTAGGGCAACTTAAAGGAGCTGTATCACAAATTTCATCAAAATTATATCAGTAGGAACTGTTACCAAATTGAGCGGAACATAAAAATAACCACTCGAAACAGTAAGAGACGGTATTAAGGCGATGTTACACGAGACTATTCGCAACGACGACTTTTAGCGCAACACAGCGTTGCAACATTGTTGCGACATTGTTTCGAATAGTTATTAACATTGTTCTAACATTGCAAAGATGTGTTGCGCTAATAATCGTCGTTGCGAATCGTCCCGTGTAACATCACCTTTAAAAACACAGTAAATACTAATGTAGGCACCAATGGATAAAATTGAAGCAGTTAAAACGGATTGAAATTGTGTGCTTGGAAGGTTAAGTTTTGTGTCAGGCATTTTGTAGGGTTTTGTTGGAATCCCTAGAGATTTCTTCGGCTTTTTTGTTTTGCCCCCATTTGATCATCCCCGTCATTTGAAATCCGGAGTACCCTCCCCCTGCCACCGGGGCCCTGTAAGTCTCAAATTACAGTTTGAAGTTACAATATATAAGCCCCATCACATGTAAAACCTGCTAATACTCATGAGGATCAGGAGACTAAAATCATGGAAATGAGAAATGTTAAAAAAGTGAAATTTGCTTAGATCAAATGCAGGATCTTATGCAGGAAGAAAGATCCTACAAGGCGGATCATCCTTGCGATATTTGTTTTCTGTGCCGTTTAATTTATATGATGCGAAGGGTTTTGCTTCAGTGGCACCCCACGTCATTTTTTTGAAAATATATAGCCGCGCTTCGAGAACTGGCAGATTGACATCAGTGACGTATCAGAATTGCTAATGATAAAAAAGGCAAATTTGTCTTGCCCTATGTCGTCCTTGTAGTTATTTGGCATAAAAGAATTTATAGAAATGTGTTTTCACTTCTTAAAACTCTACGAGTAATTGAATTTTTTTTTTTTTTTGATAACGGAAAATTCATTCGACACTAATTTTGGTAATCAACTAGATATCCTCAAAATAGCCAACAAGACGACAATAGAACGTAACGCCTGGTTTCCATATGATCGTCCGGATCGTCCCGATCGTCCCAGTCGTCTCAAAAAATGTTCAGACGA